CCAATCCCTGCCCATATATATCCATGATTCCTTTGATGCCTTACGCCGGTTTCAAAACTTCCAGTTTGCCGGTTCCAGCCGCCTCCTCTTTACCATGGATGTACAATCCCTTTACAGGTCAATTCCCCATCAGGAGGGTCTTAGGGCTATCTGCTTCTTCCTGGAGCAAACACCTGAACCATCCCCACCCACCACCACCCTCCTCCGCTTGGCTGAGCTTGTCCTCATCCTCAACAACTTCTCTTTCAACTCCTCTCATTTTCTTCAGGTAAGAGGCCATAGGTACTCGCATGGGCCCCAGTTATGCCTGTCTCTTTGTGGGGTATGTGGAACATTCCTTGTTCCAGTCCTATTCCGGCCCCCAACCACAATTCTTTCTCTGATACATTGATGATATCATCGGTGCTGCTTCCCTCTCTTGTCTGGAATTGGAAAACTTCATCAATTTCACCTCCAATTTCCACCCTGCCCTCACTTTCACCTGGTCTATCTCTGACTCCTCCCTTCCCTTCCTTGATATTTGTTTCCATTTCTGGGGATAGACTGGTCACTAATATCCACTATAAACCCACTGACTCCCACAGCTACCTGGACTATACATCCTCACACCCCACTTCCTGTAAAGACTCCATCCCATTCTCTCAGTTCCTCCGTCTCCGTTGCATATGTTCAGATGAGGCCAACTTTGACAAGGGGGCATCCGAAATGTCCACTTTCTTCCTGAAGTGAGGATTCCCCAGCTCTGCTGTCGACAGAGCTCTCAACCAGGTCTGACCCATCTCCCGCACTTCTGCCCTCACCCCTTCTCTTCCCTCCCACAACAGCGATAGGGTTCCCCTTACCCTCACCTACCATCTCACCAGCATCCACATCCAGAAGATCAGACGCCATTTCCGCCACCTCCAGCAAGATGCCACCAAAAGACACATATTCCCCTCCCCCACCTTGTCCGCCTTCTGCAGGGACCGTTCCCTCCAGGACACCCTGGTCCACACTTCCTTCACCCCCAACACCTCCCCACAGCCCTATGGCACCTTCCCCTGTAACCGGCGAAGGTGCAACACCTGCCCATTTACCTCCTCCCTCCCCAGTATCCAAGGGCCCAAACATACCTTCCAGGTGAACACTTCACCTGCACTTCCCAGAATCTAGTCTACTGCATTCGCTGCTCACAATGTGATCTCCTCTACATTAGGGAAACAAAGTGTAGACTTGGCGATCGCTTCGCAGAACATCTACGTTCTGCTCGCAAAAAAGACCCTGAACTACCTGTTGCCTGCCACTTTAATGCACCACCCTGCTCCCTGGCCAACATCTCTGTCTCCGGCTTGCTGCAGTGTTCCGGTGAAGCCCAACACAAGCTGGAGGAACAACACTTCATTTTCCACTTGGGGATCCTACAGCCCTTCGGATTCAATATTGAGTTCAATAATTTTAGGGCCTAAACTCTCCCATGTCCCAGCCCCCTACCCCACAGACCAGGCCTTGTTGCCACATAGCCAGCTATAAAACACCCCCTGTTGTTAGTCACTAACAGTCCCCATTAACAACTTTTCACCCTCCCAGCCTGATCGTTAGCAACTCCTTTGTCTGTCCAACTGTTTTTCTCTCTCTTTGGCCTCTATCCTATCATTTACTCCCTAACCCACCCACCTCCCTATTTTCTGCAAATAAACTGACGTTTTCCCAACCACCATCAGTTCTGAGGAAGGGTCACCGGACCGAAACGTTAACTCTGTCTTCTCCTTCACAGATGCTGCCAGACCTGCTGAATTTTTCCAGCAACTTTGTTTTTGTGTTGACACAGATCTCTCAGCCATGAAGGTTGTCGCTTCAGGTCTTACTCATTTCTTAAGCATAGAAGTCTAGGCTGACACATCTGTGCAGTCCTGACAGAATGCTGATTTGTCACAAATCCAACCTTTCAGATGATCCAAACAGCAGTGACCTTGTAAAATTCTCTGCCACAGAAAATGGTTGGGGCCAAAGCATTGAATGATTTCAGGGAATTAGATATAGTTCTCAGGGCTAAAGGGATCAAAGCATATGGGAAGAGAGTGAGTTGGATGATCAGTCATAAACATATGGAATGGCAGAGTAGGCTCAAAGGTTAGACTGACACTCCATTTGGCCCTTTCAAGTGGAGGCGGAAGATCTCTTGAAACTCTGCAGTTTCTCTCCTAACAGCCGTATCCAATTTAATCTTGTGATATTTTTAGCCTCCTTGATCTCCTGATTACTCAACTAATTGGTCCCTGTTGATATAATAGTTATTTTGAATGGACATTGTCCCATGGCCTTTAAAAAGGGACAATACATTTGCAGTATTATAGGAATAGGGTAGGGGGTTAGTATGCTCTTCGGCGGGTCAGTGTGGACTCGATGAGCTGAATGGCCTGCTTCCACAATGAAGGGATTCTATGAAAAATTCTATCTTCAAGCCATCCATCCACAAAATTTTAGTCACCTTATTGCCCACCTTAGCCAAAATCTCTGTTCTGATTCCTGCAGTCAAGAACCTATCCTTCTAGCATAGAATAACTATCCTTGGGTCAATCACAAATAACACATTTTCTGACAGGTACATTACCTTGAGTTCTCCACAGGACTCCTCTGACGAGGGAATTTAACTTCTCAAAAGGGGAATCAAGTTCAGCGATCAATTATGAAACTGGAGTTAGCCCATTTAGAAGGGAAACTAGTAAGCATTGTTTCACCTATACAGGAATGGAAATCTGGCATTCTGTCCCATACGAGGCTGTGAATTCTGGGACAACTGGAGCTTTCAAGATTGTAATCAATGTGTTGGGCAAAGGTATCTATGGAATATAGTACTAGTGTGGCTCACCAGATTTGAGGTACAGATTAGCAGGTTTCGAAATGGCCTACTCCTTTTCCTAATATAGTCCACTGTACTATCTATCTCAACCTATTATCAGCCACTTAAATGCCAGCTCCTGGTAAAGCAATACTGTAGTCACTCCCATAATTTCACTCTATCCCTACAGGCCTGCAAAGTAAATTCCTTCATAGGTTATAATTGTTTAGCATCATTACCCAACTTCTCTACTCAACTGTTGAATTGTTGGAGGTCAGTCATCTCAGCTCCAAGATATGTCTGCAGGAGTTCCTCAGGATAGTGTCCTACATCCATCATCTTCAGTTGCTTCATTAATCACCTTCCCTCCATCATGAGGTCAGAAATAGGGATGTTTGCCAATGATTGCACAATGTTCAGCAACATTCACAACTCCTCAGCAATGGTGCCAATTCCCATCCACAGGATAGGCAAGAACTGCAAGTACAACAGTGCACCACATGATCCTGAACTTCAACATGGTGTGCTACAGGAATTAGGATCAAGATCATGTTCTTTGGTGGGATACTTAAATGGTCGTGAAAGAAAAAAAAAGCAGTAAAAGGTACAGAACTTCACATGCATACTTCTGATGGGAACTATTGCCAGTTTATTCACTGCCTTCATTCTTCTGTGATCTGAGAACATTATTGGCAATCAGCAATTTATGGTCGGATAACTGCTTAGTAGTGAAATAAGGTAGATTAGTTATCTTTACTTCTTAGTCCAGTTTCTTCCCAATACTGCCATTACCCATCCTGTATGACAGCAATGCCATTATGGTTGGCTTTTTACAAACACATCCTTGAAATATATGGAGAGTAAACTTTCAGATGTAATTTCTTTCCCTCTGCAGCAGACCTGAGCAAGTCTGTCAAATAGTTTTAAACATGTCTCTTTGATATTTGAGTTTGAGCCAACAGGCCAGCAATGCAGTACTGCAGAAATGTGTTTGCTACTAATACACATCTAGGAGAGGCCAGGAAATACAATAACTATATTATGGAAATAATATCTTTATTAAAGTTATTTTAAAAGTCAAAACAATGCAGCAAAACATATCAACAGGCAAAACAATTTACAACAGATTTTGCAGAACTTCACTTATTATAAAACAGATTGATTAGTTCCATCTTAACAGATCTCTCTACAGGCAGGAAGTTATCTCCCAAAGCAGCTTGTGCCCTTCTGCAAAACAAAAAACAAGCAAAGTTCTGAATTTGTCGCATATAATAAGCTTAATTTTAGACTTTACTGGTGGTGTGACAAATGAACATGTTAAAAATTTCTGACCCTTAACATTTATTCTTTCAAGTAGGGCAGATTAAGAAGTGTGCAAACCATACAAGACTTAATATCCAGTGAGATTACTCCTAAAACTGGGCTCATCTGAGTCAGTTCAGCAGAAGCCGGTACGAGTAGCTGTTAATAACACTGGATGTGATAATAATGCATAAATAAATAGTGTAGAGCTGGTCACTGTATACTCTTCATTGTGTACTGTATTCTTCTAACTTCTAACTACCTTCCCTGAGTGACATATCTGATTATATTTACCTATATCAGATGGGACAGGCCAAAAAATTAAAATAATTTGTACATTAAAATAACTAATGGTATTTATGCCATCTGACTTTTATGGTGTAGGTGCAACAAGTAATTCCGAAGGCAAACAGTATGCTAGCTTCTATCTCAAAAGGATTTGAGTGCAGGAACAAAGAAATCTTGCTTCAATTGTATAGAACACTGGTGATTGTACCTGGAGTTTTATGTACAGTTCTGGTCCATGCTTGATGAAAGATATACTTGCACAGAGGAATTCTTGGGATGATGAGGCTGACCTGAGATGTGATTGAGAATACTGGATCTGTTTTTTTATTCACTTGAGGGATATGAGCATTGCTGGCTGGCCAGTATTTATTGCTTGTCCCTAATTACCCTTGAGAAGATGGTGGTGAGGTGCCTTCTTGAACCACTGCAGTCCATGTGCTGTAGGTAGACCCATTATACTGGTAAGGAGGGAATTCCAAGATTTTGAGCATCAGTGAAGGAATGCTGATATATTTCCAAGTCAGAATGGTGTGTAATTTAGAGGGGAACTTGCAGTGGTGATGTTCCCATGTATCTGTTGCCCTTCTTCTAGACAAAAGTGATCACAGGTTTGGAAGATGTTGTCCAAGGATCTTTGGTGAATTTCTGCAATGTATCTTGTAGATAGTACCCCAACTGGGCATCAGTAAGCTGGTATTGCTGAGCGGTTATTGCTTGATAGCACTGTTTGTAGAATCCTATAATCCCTAGAGTGCTTTTGGGACATTTGGTCCATCGTGTCTGCATCAACCCTTCAAACAGCATCCCACCCACTGTATCCCTGTAATTACCATGGCTAATCCACCTTGCCTGCACATCTTTGGGAGGAAACCTGAGTACCTAGAGAAAACCCACAAAAATATGGGGAGAGTGTGGAAACTCCACACAGACAGTTATCCAAGGCTGGAATTGAACCTGGGTCCCTGGAGGTGTAAGGCAGCAGAGCTAACCACTGAGCCACCCAACTTCCATCACTTTACCAATAATTAAGAGCACATAGGGCGGTAATTGGCAGATTGGATTTGTTCTGCTTTCTGTGTACAGGACATTCCTGTGCAATTTTACACATTGTCAGATAGATGCCAGTGTTGTAGCTGTACTGGAACAGCGTAACTGTGGGCATTGCAAGTTCCGGAGCACAAGTTTTCAGTACTATTGTTGGAATGCTGTCAGGGCCCATAGCCTTTGCAGTATCCAAGGTTTCCAACCACTTCTTGGTGTCACATCAGATGAATCAAATTGGCTGAAGACTGGCAAGTGCGATGTGGTGGACCAATGGAGGAGGCCAAGATGGATCATCCACTAAGCATTTCTGGTGATGACTGCTGCAACTGCTTCACCCTTGTCTCTTGCAGTGATGTCCTGGGCTCTTCCAACTTTGAAGATGGGGATGTTTGTGGAGCCTCCTCCTCCAGTGAATTACTTATTTGTCCACCATCATTCATAACTGGATGTGGCAGGACTGCAGAGCTTAGACCTGATCCATTGGTTGTGGAATAGCTTAGCTCTGTCAGTCACTTGCTGCTTATGCTGTTTGACACACCAGTAGCTCTGTTTGGTATCTTCACCACGTTGACACGTGCCTTTTAGGCATGCCTAGTTCTGTTCCTGGCATACCCTCCTGAACTCCCTACTGACCCAGGGTTGATCTCCTGATTTATGGTAATGATAGAGTGGGGATATGCTAGGCCATGAGGTTACAGACTGTATTGGTGTATGATTCTACTGCTGTTGACTGCCTACAATGCTTCATGGATGCTGAGTCTCGAGTTGCTAGATGTTTGAAGTCTGTCCCATTTAGTACAGTGATAGTGCCGCAGAACACAATGGAGGATATTCTCAATGTGAAGATGGGACTTCATCTCCACAAGGACTATTTAGTGGTCACGTACATTTTGCCCTTTTGTTGGTTCCCTCACCGTCTGCCGCAGACCCAGTCTAGCAGTTAAGTCCTTTAGGACCCAGCTGAATTAGTAGTACTGCTGCCGTGCCACTCCTGGTGGACATCCAGAGTGCATTTTCTACCCTTGCCATCCTCAGTGCTTCCTCCAAGTGTTGTTCAACATAAAGGAGCATTGATTCATTGGGCAAGAGAGGACAGTACATTCCTTGCCCATGTTTAAAAAGAGTTTAGAGTCTCTGCCTCCACCACAAACTCATGCAGCAAATTCATAGCAGACGGTGAAATTTGAATTCAATAAAAATATCTGGTATTTATAATTTATGAATGACCATGAAACCATTGTCAATTGTTGGAAAAACCCATCTCATTCATTAATGTCCTTCAGGAAAGGAAATCTGCCGTTCTCACCTGGTCTGGCCGACATGTGACTCCAGACGCACAGCAATGTGGTTGACTCTTAACTGTCCTCTGAAATGGTCTACTAGCCACTCATTTAGAACAACTGCTACTGAGTCTTAACAAAGAAATGAAACTGGACGGACCTGAGACTTCATGAACACAGCAGGCCAAGCAGCATCAGAGGAGCAGGAAAGCTGACATTTCGGGTCTAGACCTTTCTTCAGAAATGGGGGAGGGGAAGGGGATTCTAAAATAAATAGGGAGAAAGGGGGAGGCGGATAGAATAAAGAAAATTACAGCACAGGAACAGACCCTTCGGCCCTCCAAACCTGCGCCGATCCAGATCCTCTAACTAAACCTGTCGCGTATTTTCCAAGGATCTGTATCCCTCTGCTCCCTGCCCATTCATGTATCTGTCTAGATACATCTTAAACGACGCTATCGTGCCCGCCGCTACCACCTCCGCTGGCAACGCGTTCCAGGCACCCATCACCCTCTGCGTAAAGAACTTTCCACACATATCTCCATTAAACTTTTCCCCTCTCACCTTGAAATCGTGACCCCTAGTAATTGAGTCCCCCACGCTGGGAAAAAGCTTCTTGCTATCCACCCTGTCTGTACCTCTCATGATTTTGCAGACCTCAATCAGGTCCCCCCTCAACCTCCATCTTTCTAATGTAAATAATCCTAATCTACTTAACCTCTCTTCATAGCTAGCGCCCTCCATACCAGGCAACATCCTGGTGAACCTCCTCTGCACCCTCTCCAAAGCATCCACATCCTTTTGGTAATGTGGCGACCAGAAGTGCACGCAGTCGAACCAAAGTCCTTTTCAACTGTAACATGATCTGCCAACTCTTGTACTCAATACCCTGTCCGATGAATGAAAGCATACCGTATGCCTTCTTGACCACTCTATCCACCTGCGTTGCCACCTTCAGGGTACAATGGACCTGAACACCCAGATCTCTCTGTGCATCAATTTTCCCCAGGGCTTTTCCATTTACCACATAGTTCGCTCTTGAATTGGATCTTCCAAAATGCATCACCTCGCATTTGCCTGGATTGAACTCCATCTGCCATTTCTCTGCCCAACTCTCCAATCTATCTATATTCTGCTGCATGCTCCGACAGTCCCCTTCACTATCTGCTACTCCACCAATCTTAGTGTCATCTGCAAACTTGCTAATCAGACTATCTATACCTTCCTCCAGATCATTTATGTATATCACAAACAACAGTGGTCCCAACACGGATCCCTGTGGAAACACCCACTGGTCACAGTTCTCCATTTTGAGAAACTCCCTTCCTCTACAACTCTGTCTCCTGTTGCCCAGCCAGTTCTCTATCTATCTAGCTAGTAAAGGCTTGGAGGGCCGAAGGGCCTGTTCCTGTGCTGTAATTTTCTTTATTCTATCCGCCTCCCCCTTTCTCCCTATTTATTTCAGAATCCCCTTCCCCTCTCCCATTTCTGAAGAAGGGTCTAGACCCGAAATGTCAGTTTTCCTGCTCCTCTGATGCTGCTTGGCCTGCTGTGTTCATCCAGCTCTACACCATGTTGTCTTGAAATGCCATGAATTTGCTGCATGAGTTGGTGGTGGAGGCAGAGACTCTAAACTCTTTTTAAAAGTACCTGGATCTGCACCTTAGGTGCTGTAAGCTGCAGGGCTTTGAGATGTGTGCAGGAAGGTGGAATTAAAGGGCATCTTTCTTTGGCTCAGCATGGACATATGCCGCTCTTTGTGCAGTAGCATTTCTCTGGTTTTATGGCAGAATTTGAATGCAGGTCCCCAGAATATTAGCTGAATTTCTCGATTGTTAGTCTAGTGATAACACCATTAGGCCATCACCTCTCCGCAGTTTAGAAGAATATGAGGCTCTCTCACTGAAACTTGAAAAATTCTTCAAGGGGTAGACAGAGTGGGTGCAGAAAACAAGTTTCTCATGGTTGTGGGTTCGACACCCAGGGGAAGCAATCTCAAGATAAAAGGCAAGGAATTTAGAACGAAGATGTGGAGGAAATTCTTCATTCAGAAGGCAATGAATGTTTGGAATTGAACTACTACGCGGAATCTTGACAAAGGCTTTACTAAAGTCCAAGTAAACAATGTTCACCGCTCCGCCCTCATTAACCTTCTTAATTACTTCCTCAAAAAACTCAATCAAGTTTGTAAGACAAGACCTCCCTTGCACAAAACCATGTTGACTTATCCCTAATCAGTGCCTGCCACTCCAAATGCATATAAATCTTATCTTTCAGAATCACCTCCAACGACTTACCCACCACCAAAGTCAGACTCACAGTTCTATAGTTCCCAGGCTGCTCCCTAATTCTCTTCTTAAACAAAGGCACAACATTAGCCACTCTCCAGTCATCTGCAAGGGGCCCTGCAATTTCCTCATAACCTCCCACAATGTCCTGGGACACACTAAATCAGGTCCTGGAGATTTATCCACCTTTATATTTTTTAAGACCTCCGACACTTCCTCTTCTGTACTGTGAACTGTTTTCAAACATCAATATTTATTTCTGAGTTCTGTAGCCTCCATTTCTTTCTCCAGAGTAAAAACTTACGTGAAATATTCAATTAATATCTTTCCCAACTCTTGAGGTTCAACACATAGATGACCTCTTTGATCTTTAAGATCTCTGTCTAATTGTTCTCTTGCTTTTAATATACCTGAAAAATCTTTTTGGATTATCCTTAATTTTATCTGGCAAGGCTATCTCATATTCTCTCTTTGCCTTCCTGATCTCCCTCTTAAGAATGCCCCTACATTCTTTATACTGTTCAAGAGATTCATTTGAAACAAGTAGTCCATATCTAATATATGATTCTTTTTTATTCTTGACTAGATCCTCAATAAAGATTCATCCATTATTTTCTAATCCTACCAGCCTGACCTTTCACTCTAACAGGAACATAATGACTCTGAACTCTCATTATCACACTTTGAAAGCCTCTGACTTATCAGACATTCCTTTATCTGCGAATGGTCTACTCCGATCAACTTTTGAAAGTTCTTGTCTCATACCATTAAAATTTGCCGTAGTCCAATTAAAACTGTTAACTTTTAAGGAAGGCTTATCCTTTTCCATAATTATTTTAAAAGAAATAGAGTTACGATCACTAGATCCAATGTGTTCCCCTACTATCACTTAAGTCACTTGCCCTGCCTTATTACCCAAGAGAAGTTTTGCTCTAGTAGGAACATTTACATATTGATAAAGAAAATTTTCTTGAACTCATGTAACAAATTCTTCACCATCTAAACCTTTGAAACTGGTAGTACCGGTCAATGTTTGGAAAATTAAAATCACCTACTATTACAACCTTATTATTCTTACATATGTCTGAGCTCTCTCTACATATTCATTCCTCAATTTCCTTCTGACTATTGGGGGTCTATAGTACAATCCCATCGAGGTGATCATTCCGTTTCTTATTTCTAATTTCAACCCATAGATTTTCACTAGATGATTTTTCAGAAATACCTTGTCTGGTTACAGCAGTAATGTCTTCCTTAATCAAAAACACCACTCCCCATCCTCATTGTCTCCCTTTCTATCCTTCCAATAGCATCTGAATCCTGGAACATTGAGCTGCCAGTTTAGTCCACCCTTCAGCTAAATTTCTGCAATAGCCATGACATCCCAATCCCATGTTCCCAAACATGCTCTGAGTTCATCAGCTTTACCTATAAGACCCCTTGCAATGAAATAAATACAGTTTAGTTCTTCAGAGTTACTTCGTTCTCTGACTTGTTCATCTGTCTAATTAACTTGTTCTTTTCAGATTCAGAATCATCCTCCTCTATCTTTCTATTTACACTACTACTTAGGATCTCTCCACTCCCTTTCTCTAATAGTTTATAGTCACTCTTAATGGAACTTGACACGATATTGGTCCCTTTTCAGATCAGGTGAAACCCATCTTTTTGAACAGGACTTTTCTGCTCCAGAAGAGACCCAATGATCCAAGAACATGAATCCCTGAACATGACACCACCTCTTCAGCCATTGATTTATCTCCTTTATCCTTTTATTCCTTTCTTCATTCGAACTTGGCACTGGGAGTAAACCAGAGATTACTACTTTTGAAGTTCTACTTTTTAATCTTCTACCTAACCTCTTATAGTCACTCTGTAAAGCCTTAATCTTTTCCCTAACTATGTCATTCCTACCAGAGTGTACAATAACGTCCAACTTCTCACTCTCCCCTTTAACAATATGCTTCAAACGTTTTGAGATGTCCTTAATTCTGGCAACAGGAACGCAACATACTGTCCTAGATTTACGTTCACAGTCACAGAATCTCCTGTCTGTGCCCCTGACAGGACAGTCTCCTATAACAATTATTCTTTTTAATTTTGTCAAACCCCGCCAAACATAAGATTCATTCTTAGTGCCCAAGATCTGACTGTCTCTTAAATTTTTTGTCCCAGAGACTCTCTCTTTCAACTGTACCCAAAACTGAGTATCTGTTTGAGAGAGAAACGGCCACAGGAGACTTCTGAACTACCTTTTTACCTTTCCTGATAGTCACACATCTATCTGATTACACAGCAGGATCAATCACTTCTCTAAATCTGCTAGCCATCTAACTATGTGTCTCTTGTGTGCCTTCAATGACAATAAGCCTAAAAAGAAGCACCTTTCAGCAGCATCTTATATATAAAATAAACTGCTTTTCCTTACACAAATAATTAAGTGTGCAAAAAATATAAAAGCAATAAAAAAATCAAACATGTAAATCTTAAATAAAATCAACCACTTAGCTGTACAATCAAATTAAAAACGACTGTGCCTCAACTGGTCCAGCAGACAGCTTTCAATCCTCTGATAAAAAAAAATCTCACTCTAGAGCCATTCACGTGTAGGTCTCTCCAAAAGCTCTATAAACACAACTTTGTTTTAAAAGACCTCTCCTCTGCAATTTGAAAATCGTCTCTCCTTCTATGGATGCAAACATTTTTTAGCGTCTAATTTTAGAGAAAAAAAACTTGAGCTGTCCATGTGTAGGCCTCTCCAAAAGCTCCGTTAACGCAACTCCATTTGAAAACAAGAACACGCTTGTTTTTTGCATTTTTGACAATGAAAGGACCAAAAATGGATCAGAATAAAAATCTTATAATCCATCATTCATTCAAATGAAATACTGAAAATTGCAGTTCACAGCTGAGCGGATCAGAAAACTTGTTCCAAGACTTTCACCAATTGTTTCGTACAGTGAGCAAATATCAAGGGCATATTTCAGAGATCCTGAACTTCCTTACTCATTATACACCACTTCTTACCAATGCTCAGCAACTTTCTCAGGAGGTCATAGTGAACAGCTCACCATAAACAAAACTCAAGTTCCTATAATTCTCATATCTGAAATTATGTCTAATCCAAAAACTCATACATCAATGAAATGACAAATTGTTTTTGTAAAATTATTTACAAAAATTTACAATCTACACAAATTAATTGTTACCTTCAACCTACCTTTTCTTCCTCTTCCTCATGTTTATTTCTTCTTTTCCAACACAAAAACGGTAGGCATAGTATTGTTTGTGTCTCCCTAAAAAGAAAAAAAGTGAGGAGAATGGCACAGCTGAAATATTGTGATAATCAGTAACTGCAATAAAAAAATTATTTTCAAAAACTTCTTAAAATGATCTCCTGACAGCCAGAACTGCAGAATAGCAAAATATCTCAGCATCTAGGAACAGCTGGACTATATATAGAGGGAATTTGCATTTTGCCACAGGTTACTATTTATTTGCTGAACTATCGCAAATGCTATGGTGTGTACTGCAATCATTTTCTTCCTGTTTCCGTTCCCAATAATTTCTTAAAAGTAGATAACTAGTGCTAGCTCTTTGAAGGAATTCAATAAAATCATTAAGCATGCATGTTGGGTAATGAGTGATGCCATTGAGTTGTGCTTGTCCATTTACACAGTGCATGTGTAATTTCAGTACTTACATTTCAGCACTTTCCTCATCCTCATCATCATCAATTTCATCAAACAGCTCCTCAGAATACTTAAGGTCTACATCCAATCCCTAAATGAATAAGAATTCACACTTGAAAGATTCAATGTATCATTTCTTTCCCTTCCTCCCCTCCACCCTCTCAATGCACCATCAGACAGAAAGCTGTACTCTGCTCCTAGACCTCTATACAGATCACTTGAACCCAGAAAGGAGGCAAGCGAATAGACGCAATGTTATCTTTGGTTATGATGATAAGTAACGAAGGGCTACCATCTAGCAATGACAAAAGAAGTGGAGCTGCAAACAATAGCTGCACTTTACAGCACTGTGGGACACCACATAGGGTGTATCAACTCAGTGGACAGTTAGTTCGCGTGCAAATGTGCTAGCCCAGTTTTTGCCTACTGATGCTGCAGATGAAAGCTCAATGAGGCATATCAAAAGGCCATCTGATGGTATCCATTGTACAATCATTGCACATCCACACTTCTGGATACAGATTCTGCTGTTTCAAGCACCGCAATATATTGTGCCTTTCTCCCTTAAAATCATTATCTGCCAGCTTCCAAAGGTTCACTCCAAGATATCGACCCTCGACCTCTGAACCATGTGGCATGTTTGGTGATCTCAATGCCCTTTCTCAGCTTCCATTCTCTATTTCACCTGAATTCATCATGCTCCATTAATTTCTCTTCCAGGTTTCTTGTAAATTATCACACTCATATTCATGACTGCCCATTTATGCATGTTATATTTCTACACCTATGGTACGCATACAAAGAACTGCCTTGAAAATAATTCTTTTGCAAAATAAGTGGTCTGAAGATTAACTAAAGCAAACTATAATATACCTCTTAGAGGAAAACGCTCCAATAGTCAACAAAGACAGCCAAGGATTAACTAAGAGCAACATAAAACAAAAATTCAAAATATAAGAAAGAAGATCCTGGTGAATGCGAAAGTGTATCAGAAGAACAGCAAAAAAGAACAAACAGAGAGCAGTTAGGCGTGGCAGCAAACATCAAGCTTCTCACTCCCTATGAAGCGACAATATTTGAGTTGGCTTGAGAAGAGCACAAATGTGCATGTAGGGGCAAGGAAACCTCAAAGTCCAACCAGCCCAATCAGCTTCATTGTGATGTGCTACACTGATTTCCCATCAACACTAGTGCTCATTCTTAATCTGCATAAGCCTTTTTAAAATCAGTGTTACACAACCAATTCTCTCTTTTCTTATACAAACACTGTAGAAGCACCCATCAGCCTCTGTTGAAAAGATGCCATTGCAGGAGACCCTCAGCTCCACTGCCACCTTCGAAGTCTTAGAGGATTCACTGGGAAGGCTTTACTAGGTCCCTGTAGCAGCTCAGAGACAAGTACCTTACTTGGCACTCTTTCTCGACTTAGCAGTACAATCTGGTGAGCACATCACTGGCATACCTCCACATCTGGCTGAGGAAGAAACACCCTGGAGTCTAGCAGTCAGAAGACCATAGAAACTGGGTACTTGTCTAGCTCCAAAAAGATGATGATCTCATGGTTTTGCCTATTAATAACTTTACAGAAATGCACAGACAAGCACAGGAACAGAAGTCAGGCTTGTTAAAGGCACTCAGAAAAGTGGATGAAGGATAGTAGAGTCCACTAACGTTATCAGTATTGTGCTGGCTTTGGAATGTGTGCATCTGGCTTTCTCTATGGATATGGTGCTGGCTGTCCAAGGAGATCCAGGGCTGTGGACCCCTAGAAGCTTATCCTCAGGACCCTTCAGAGGTACTCTCTACCTGTGATCCCAATGACTCCAGAATGTGAGAGGGTTGTCAATAAGTTAACAAATGATACAAAAATTGCTGAGGTGATAAATAGGAGGATAGCCTTAAGGTTGATCAGCTGGGCTCATCAGTGGCAAATGGAATTCAATCCAGAAAAATGTAAGGTATGTACTGGAACATGACAAACAAGGTAAAGGCATGATCAACGGTGGGATCCTGGAAGGCACCAAGGATCAGAGAGCACTTGACTGCATGTAAAACCAGTCTCTTAAGGTATCAGGACAAGTAGGTAAAGTGGTAAAGAAGATATATAGTACACATGCCTTTATTAGCTGAGGCATGAAATTTAAAAGCAGGGATGGTATGCTGGAACTATACAAAACATTGGTTAGGATGCAATTAAAGTACTGTTTACAGTTTTGGAATTTACAGTACAGGAAGATTGCGATAGCACTGGAGAGGGTGCAGAAGAGATTTACCAGGATGTTGCCTGGCTGGGGTTGTTTTCCTTACAGCATTGGAGATCGAGAGGAGACATGATTGAGATGTATGAAATTATGAGAGGCACTGATAGGGTAGACAGGAAGGATCTTTTCTCTTTGATTGAGGGATTAATGACTTGGGTCAGACTTAAGTTATCAATGCTGTGGTTCAAGAATCCCTGACATTTAAGGCTATGTGCAGTCAAGGAATCAATTGCTTGTGAAAGATGAGTGACTCCTGGCCATTACAACTATTTTCATCAGAAGCTGCTCATCTCTTAAATAGTTGTGACTTTTCCAGGTCTTGTAGCGACAAAGGTGCAAGAGCAGATTTGTAAGAATGCAAGTAAAGGTACATTTACAAAAGTGTGTGTTTACTGTGTCATCTATGCCACCTCTCTGCCTCTGGCTAGATAGTAAGCCACCATGACAGCCCCTCCCCAGAAAAAGGCACCCTTGTACCTCACAGACCATGTCCTTGCACATTTACAATTCAGAATGCAAATGTGGCATCTCTAAGTGTTATCTTCCAGTAATAGTTATGGAATGAGTGTCAGAAATGTCATGCCCAGTTGCCACTTTTAAGTTAGCTTGTTTGATTACATTACTTTAGCTAGCTTGACATGGAGGCAACTTGTATGCATAATATAGAGGTTGTGACTGCTTTAGACCATAATCAGTCATGTGTATTCTCTAACAATAAAGATATTTCCTGAAGAAGGGCAATTTGAAGAAAGCTGGGTGACACTACTTAATCAGTGAATGTATGATGACTCCAATTCAGCTGAACAGGTATTCAAATTCAAACAATTTTACTCGGTCCCCGAAGAAAAAAATAACTTAATCTGTTCATGTTTGATATGATGCTAGCTATTTTGTCTCATTATCATGTAAATGACGTTAGATTGAAAAATTTCAAGCCTGTGCTTGAGTGACTTGTAGACTCGGTACGAAATGCAAGATGACTCCCCCATTCACAAAATGTTCCCTTTTGTGCTGCTGTCCTTCTGACCCTTTTGACCTTTCAGCCTCCCTGTCAACTTCCATTCAGCCCCTTTACATGACTATTAATGTTCCCAATTTACCCCCAGGGTCTAGTGAATTGCTATGCCTGTTGGCCCTACACCATCCCTAGAGTTATAATGCCTCATGAGAAACCCCTCTTGGATTTGTCTGCCCCCTCCTACGGTCTATGATGTCCCACCAGTCTCTCTGAAATTGCCCTCTTTCACTGTAATCATTGCCTTAGCAACTCAGCTAATCGAATCACATCCCTAGAATTGAGCTGCCCACTTTCCTGGACTTCACAGACTTCCCCATTATAAGCTCCTGGACATTATTTAGCGAACAGCCAGAATTATGGTCCATTAGTTTAGTTTGGGATAATGTTCGGCATGGACTGGTTGGACTCAAGGGTTTGTTTCCATGCTGTATGACTCTATAACACAAGTATGCCCAGCCCCGGACTGATGTCTCCATAGCACCTTGACAGATGCATCTATATTTCCTTGCACTTGATCTGTAAGACAGATTGTGGTCTAATCCCTGGTTTGCAAGGACACAAATCCTCAGACTCTGGTAGGAACAAGTACCTGAATTGCCGTCACCAACTTCCCAGATTGGAATGAGATAAGCCTCTTGACTGGCTTTAGTGGCACCCCCAACTGACTGTAGTCTTCCTTGACTTCACTAAGGGCTGCTCCCCTTTGACTTTTAGTTGAAGCACTTGCAATGTGTTTGTCATGTAAGCTGCTGGCAAATGGTCTAAGTGTGACACTGATGTAGTACAGTGACATGTCCAGTCATTCGAATATTCAGTGCTCCTCACAGCGACATGTTTGCCTACTTTACCCTCTTGTGCTAAAAAGCAGTGTAAACCACAGACAATGGCAGCCTTCAAGTAAACATGATCCAAGTCTGCAAACTGATGCTAAGAATTCAATCTAAGAACCATAAGATGCTTCCTTAAAAGCATGGTACGCTTGTGTGTCCCTGTGTGCAAAATAGCTTAGCATAAACATGCAAGCCATAGCCGACCCTGAGCTTCAAAGTCTTGAAGTGGTGTGGAAGTTGGACTGAGAGCAGGGAAAATGATGTGAATATCCTGGTGGTTTGCCATGCTAACTTGTGTGGACAAAAGGTGGAGGAGGATGGTGTCTATGGAGCATGCAGGACATTGAGGTGAAGACAAAAGTTGGATGAAGGCCGGAACAAACATTTGTAATGAACAGATACCTGGTACCTGTAAGATTTACAAGTTGAGAATTTGCATTTAGTTTCTTAGAGGACAGGAGAAGAGAACTGGAAGTGGGATAGAAATGATGTAAGTTGTGGGTGTAAAAATATGCAAATAAGTGGAAATAAGGTCATCTCTGCCCAATGGCGAGATGTGAAGTCACATTTATAGATCAAGGAGGAAATATTTTCCAAAGTTGAGTTCTTTCATTCCCACTGTATTTTCCAACTTTCTCATCATTGCCCACTCCACTGCAGGGAGGAGAAATTACATTGATATTGTTTTGCCCATTCATTTATTTTTTGTCAGAGGAACATAGGAAATAGAATAGAAGTAGGCCATCTGGTCTCCTGAAAATGCTCTGCTAGATAATAGCTGATCTTCTACCTGAACACCATTTTCCAGCACTATCCCCATTTACCTTGATATTTTTCACGTATAATCTATCTTCTAATTTAAATATACTCAATAACTGAGCCTCCACAGGCCTCTGGGTAGAGGATTCCAAAGCTTCACCACTCTTTTAGAGTGAAGCAATTTATTTCCACCTCAATCCTAAATAGCCCACCTCTTACTATCAAACAGCAATCTGTTATTCTCGACATCCCAGGCAGGCGAAACGCTCATACTGGTCCTGTAGACTGGCAAATAGACTTCAAAATAGGCAAGGTTTGGAAAGGGATGGAAGAATCTACCTTCTAAATCATAGAGGCTTAAGGAACCTTTGGGGCCAGGCATAGAGATCATTAAACAAGAAATGAACAAGTCAGAAAATAGTCAAAATGTCTAATAGAATGTCTAATAGAATGCATGATTAAGCTACACAAAGCACTGGGTAGACCATATCTGGAGCACTGTGAGTAAATCTGGGTACTGCACTTTATGAAAGATATACTGGCCTTGGAGAGAATGCAATGCAGATTTACCAGACTCATACTTGGATTCCAAGGGTTAAATTATAAGGAAAGATTATACATACATGCTTTCATTCCCTAGAATTTGAGAAATTAAAGAGGTACTTTGATCAAAGTTTTCAACATAATGCAATCATTAGGGTAGACAGAGATAAAAGCAATTTCACTGGCTTGGGATTCCATGAATAGGGTCCATTTCTAAATTCTAATTCTAAAAATTACAGTCAGACATTTCATGAGTAAGATAAGGAAATGCTTTTATTAGTGAAAGGTAGTAGAAGTTTGAAACTCTTTCCTATGTGGCAACCGATGTGACATCAATTTATTATTTTTAAACTGGAGACTGGTAGACTTTTCTATAAATAGAGGTATGAACTGATATGGGGCAAAGGCTGCAGATCAGTCAGCATGGACAGCCGTGAGGAGCTAAATGGCATTCTTCAATTCCTGTATTCCCTTTCCAATATTTCAACTTACACCATGTACATCATAAAACAACTCATTAGTGGCCTATTTTCTCTCACCAGTTACAGGCTTTCAAGCCCACTCATGTAATCCAAGTGGTTTGCAGAACAAAGTTGAAACTTACATGTGTAAAGCCATCTTGATATGCAAACAATTTTACTATATTAACATTCATAGTAGCCTGCATTTCCTATCAGCGAACAAAACAAAAATTGATGGAGAAACCCAGCAGGAGTGGCAGCATGTGTGGACAGAAAACAGAGTTAATGTTTTGAATCCAATGACATCTTCAAAACCTTTGTTTCTTTGTATCAATTCCTAATAGCAACATGGAGCTGGCTTAAAATTTAAGAAGCTGGTCGAGTAAGCCTGGAATTCACTGGGACAAATAGCTCTTCAAAAGTCGAAAGAAACAATTAACAGTTAGTTCGGAGATAGCAAGAACTGTAAATGTTGAAATTTCTGAAGAAGGATCTCGACCTGAAACGTCAGCTTTCCTGTTCCTCTGATGCTGCCTGGCCTGTTGTGTTCCTCCAGCTCCACACTTTGTTAACAGTTAGTTCTACATTATCAATTGATTAAATGAATTCCCAGGTATGGGCACATTGATTGGCAAAACCTCAAGTTGTAGAATTTACCTGATAGTGTTCTAGAGCAAATTTAGATTGTGTATTCTTGTCAGTCTGTAAGAAAAATAAGTCACAGTTTAAAATGTTTTTATTAAATGTTTGGCCACGTAGCTTGGAGTTTAAATTGCATCCAAACCAGAATGAACACTTGAAGAGGATGTATAAATATGCTATGTACAAAAACATTGGTTAAAGAAAGTTTCTCAAGGGAATGACACGGACCTGGTTGCTCCTCCTGGAAATTGAAATTAAGTGAAGGAGAACCCTGTAACAATGAGTTGATTAGTTGCTTCACCATCATCATCCTGTGGGTCACCACTGACTGGAAAATGAATCAGACCAGGCACAAATATGGCTATTACAGTGGGTCAGAGATCAAGTATTCTATGGTGAGTGGCTCATTTCCTATCTGCCCAAAGCCTCTCTGCCACGCACTAATCACAATTTAGAAATGTGATGAAATATCCTCCATTTTTTTGGATGAGTGCAGCTTCAACAACACTCAAGAAGCTGGACAACATCCAGTATAAAACAGTACACTTGGCCAGCACGCCAACCACCATCTATAACATCCATTCCTTATTGAGATCATGGCTGCAGTGTGTATTACCAACAGGCAGCATTACAATAAACTCTTAAGGTTTCTTTAACAGCACCTCTCAAGCAAGCGACCTCTACCACCTTGAGGGAGAAGGCAGCAGGTGCACGGGGTCACTGTAACTTCCAAATCACAGATCATTCCAACTTGGACACCTATCATAGTTCCTTCATGGTCATTTGGTCACAATCCTGGATATTGCTGTGGCTCACTGGATCTGCAGTGGCTCACTACCATCACCTTCTCAAGAGCAGACACTGATGGACAATAAAGGTCGAACAAATCGCAGCATCCCACCAGTATCCTGAGAATGCTTTTTTAAAAAAAACTGCACTGAAAACTTATGGAGGCTTATAAATTCTTGTGGGGCATAGATAAGGTGAATAGCTAAGGTCTTTTTCCTAGGGTGGGGAGTCCAAACCTAGAAGGCATAGGTTTAAGGTGGGGGTTGTGGGGGGGTGGATTTTAAAAGGACCTAAGGAATAACTTTTTCACACAGAGTGGTGCTGGTATGGAACGAGCTGCCAGAAGAGTTGGTGGAGGTGTGTACAGTTACAACATTTAAAAGGCATCTGGATGGGTATATGAACAGGTTGGGTTTAGAGGGATATGGGCCAAATGCTGGCAAATGGGACTGGGTCAGATTGGGATGTCTGGCCAGTGCCAACGAGTTGGAGCTGTTTCCATGTTGTATGACTCTAAGTCTTTTTATTTAGAGGGTGCACTTACAGATCAAATAAATGTGAGAAAATCCCTGCCAGTATTTCTTGGTAGTCTTCACCACTGCACAATAGCCTTAAAGTTATGGAACTGTCTAGAATAAAAGTGTTTGATTTAATAATCCAACCAGAACCTGCTTACTAACATGCTAACCTGAACTATTTGCAACAATCTTTTTCATTTGTCTCTTCCCTATAAAGTCAAAATATATAGGAATTATAGATACCTGGGATTTATCCTTCACCACAAGTTTCATTTCTTCCTCTGTACAGAAAGACTATATAAATAAAGATAACTTTAGTTAAGAACGAGTAAATTACCATCTCATACATGTGCATGCTATGACTTTACAGTTAAACACACAAAAAAAGAGATATTTAGGCGGATGCAGCAGAAAAAAACCCAGTAGAGCAGTAACTGATTCAGTCTTTAAGCTGGTAACATAGCTATTTAAAGATATCTGCACTGACCGAAAACAAGCTCATTTCCTAGCTCTGCTGTGATGGCGTGTGGGTCATGTACTAATAGGTTGTACAGCTGCAAATATATATTCAAAGCACAAAACACTCCCTATTCATAGCACAATCAACCAGTCAGGTCAATTCACACATGCGCTAGCCTTTCATCAGTTAATATTTTATTTAATCTAGCAAATCTACATGAAAGGGTCAAAATCCCAAGAAAGCTGAAACTGGTATTAAATGAAACATTACTTAAGTGACACCAAGCCTGAATTATTACCTTTCCTTTAGATCCAGCAAAAGAATATTCAAGTGTTTCCATGCTTCCAATCTGCAAAAAATATTTTCATTTCTCGTTTAAAAAATTAGACAGAACTCTAACTTAATTTAAAATGGAGCTGTACTCCAATAGTTAAACCTTGCAATATTTTTGTTCATAAACTTCATATGTAAAACTTTGTTGTTACAAAGAACTTTATATATAATAATGCATGAAGGGTTTAAATTCTGAAGAATTATGGAAAATGACATTTATTTCAAGTTCAGTGTTGCATCTGTTACTTCCTTTGGAAGAGTGATTGAAGAAACATATCAAGACTGTATTTCTTGAAACAGCTGTGACTGCAAGATGTCAGAATCAAATGTGTGATTAGTGACCTGAATGCATGCCAGAACATCAGAGCAACAGACTCCAGAACATTCCACACTTTTTCCTTGTGTTGCCAAAAAAAACTCATTGGTCAGTGTTTTTTCTCTTCACATAATTTTCTATGTGTGTGTTGGGGTTACCTAGAGGGAGAAGTATTTAAATTTCTATGTGACTGATTGTGTATGTTACCTGGTTATTGCATCTTTATTGAGTAAGTTTTGTTTGATAATAAATCCATAATTACATTTATTAAGAAATCTGGCTGATTGATCTTTTGTTTAAAATCTAATATAGCTAAGGTATTTAATTGGTCATCTTGGTAACAGGAAAATGTATTTTTATATTATGTTGCAACCGGTGGAGTAGTGGGACTACAGCGATAGTCGTGGTCCTCTAGCATTCATAGTAACTTTGAACGGAATCTCCCCAGGCGCAAATGATATAGGAAATGGCAAGTCAGTTGGCACAATATGGTGATACAGCAGAAATAAGATTCTTGCTCTTCAAGAAGCGAGTTTGCATGAATTACCAATTCCAACATGAAAGATGGAGCGGATTTCTGGCGACTGCAGCTCACCACTTGATCCTCTGGGCCTCCATCTTGGACAGATATCTCACAGCACATTCCATGCGGAACAACTGTCCCACACAGGACACTTATCGGCCTCTCTGTGTCATTATGGCACATCACAGACCCATTTCAATGCTGCACTTTGGAACATACTGGCACTTTTCACCTTGATATGGCTGCTAGGTCACTTTGCAGAGACAAGTACCCATCTCATGGATTTGACCAGGATGCATCTTAAGGTGCCTCACTTTTTTTTTAGTGTTCACTCACTTTGTCCCTATTTGTGTGCTCGTAGCATGGTTGCCTTGCCTTTTTGTGATATGTCCCCTCATTCATAAATTAAAGGTTACAACACTTCTATCTTGCTTACATATTTAGCGCAGCCACAAAACCAGGCAGCTTGTCATGGGTAACACAGTGTGGAGCTGGAGGAACACAGAAGGCCAGGCAGCATCAGAGGAGCAGGAAAGTTGATGTTTTGGGTTGGGACCCTTCTTCAGAAAAACTCCACACTTTGTCATCTCTGAATCCAGCATCTGCAATCCTTGCTACCTCTACGTTTGTCATGGGTGTCAGCTGTGATCAGTCAACAGGCTGGGCAGGATGTTGACTGACACTGTGCCACATCATTATTACTAGCGCACCATATGCCAGCAACTTATGTGGCAATTACACAATGTACTTCAACCAAATGGTCATGTTTCCAAGTCTGAAGGGAGTAGTTCTTGGTAACATTAAGGAAGGCAACCCAGCAGAGTAAGTCAATGGCAGCATCTAATACCAGTCTCAGGGCTTAGGTCAGTCAGCCAATTGAGGAAGTCAGGATCATAGACTCCCTACGATACGGAAAAAGGTCATTTAACCCATCAGGTCTGCACCAAGCCTCCAAACAGCATCCCACCCATACCCAGCCTATCCTCGTAAACCATATTTACCATGGCTAATCCACCTAGCTTGCATATTCCTGGGCACTATGGGGCAATTTAGCATGGCCAATCCACTAACATACACATTTTTGGACTGTGGGAGGAAACTGACCATATATATTCTATCAAGTCTGCTGTTTACCCTTTACCCCACTCCTTCCAAAATCATGGTAGGTTTTCATCTATCTTACCTTCCTTTCCATTAATTACCATATTCGTTACCTTGTCCTCTGCCATATACAGCAAGTGCCAGCTGCCTACACAGCAAACACACTGCTACACATGTATTCAATCAAATCGCCATGTTTGAAATTGGGTAGGGCCAGTCAGGTGATGGGGGTGCAATGCCCATCAGGGGTTTAAGTACCATTAGTCAGGGGCACAGTCCATGCACAGTCTAGAGGCATAGTCACAGTCAGCTGAGGAAGCACTGTCAGGGAATCTGTCCGACTGCAGCTCGGGGAATGGTCAACAGCTGTTCTGTAGGGCCAGCAGCGGCAGTCAGGCAGACTGCATGTCATCAGTTGGGGAGCTGCACAGACAGTGATTGGGGTCAGGTCAGCCTTGTTCGGGTACTACTCTTTGAAGTTGGTCAGAGGTCTGGGGTGAATATAATCCAGGTTTCCATTTATTGGTTGTTAAGGAGTTTGCAAGGAGGGGCGGGGGTGCTATTGGATTAGATGGGTGGATCACTGACAAAAGGGGCAGCTGACTCAAGGCTGGGGTTGGTGAGGAGAATAGGCATTTGTGGAAGTGGGAACAAGGATGGTGATGGTGGAAAGCTCAAGGCATATAGAGGATATGTGGAACAGCATCAAAGACTGTGGGGGAATAGGCGGTTATTGGCAGCGACCACCACCATAGACCACAGGGAGCACTGAGGAGCACAGTTGGTATCATTAAGGTGTAATGCCTGGATTCAAAGGAAGGCAGGATAGTTGGATGTGAAGTTCAATGTGATGGGTCTCCAGATTGGGGGGATTGGGTGAAAATTGGCTGTCAGAGTAGAGCAAAGCAATGGGGACACATGGCGATGCAGAGCCCAATGCTAATGGTATCCACAGTAAGCTGCACCCCCTGCCATTAGTTGCTATTTTCAAGACGTGCAATGAAACTGAAAAATGATTTAGACAATGTTTTGAGGATGGTACACTGGATCCGAAACCTTAACTCTGCCAAACCTGCTGAGCTTTTCCAGCAACTTCAGTTTTTGTTTCTGATTTATAGCATCCGCAGTTCTTTTGGAATTTTTTTTAGACAATGTCCACATTGGGGGAGAGTGAATGTCAATTTGGGCAGTGTGTGATTTATGCCTGCTGGACAGTAGGACATTGAAGGGGCAAATACATAAATCATGAGTTTGCAAACTCCAACCACAATTTGTTTGCAAAGATTTCTTCACACATGTGCAAACACATGCAAAGTGAACATGCTTATGTGTCAAATGTTGGTCATAGGCAGATTGCACCATGCCACTCGTGCTAGCCAAAGTAATGTTGTTATCTTAATGGTACAGACCTTAGTGAAAATAACTTAAGAAAAGGTGAATACTGGTCAACACATCATTTATAGAACATCTAAGGGTAATGAGGGAGGAGGGGAACACTGTTATATAATAAGATATGTAAGTATGATGATTGACTCTAATGAATGCAATAGAGAGTAGAATGGTTGATGTGTGTCTGGGATAGGAACAGGGTCAGATCACAGCAGGCACTCCCTTTTGGAAGTAATGTGTCGATCACTCAGCTGGTATGACGCCTTCATCAAGTCGGCGCTCGTTCTGAGACCAAAGCAATTATTGAACAGGCCTCTGAAGGTCTGCTTCTGCATCTTGGAACAGTATGGAGTGGACCTTCAATACAGCCCATGCAGAGTGTGCTACATCAATCTGGACTGTACAAGTGGAGGCAAGGCGATGTGACTGATGCTAACTAGCCCAGAGATTGGGAGCAATCATCTGAGAAGATGATTGAGGTCTCTGAGCTACAGGAAGCTCTTCTTGTGGGAGACATGTTATACATGTGGACAATTAGCATTTATATTTCCACATAACTCATCACTTTAATCAAACAACGTAGATTTCACATTGAGTGATTTCACATTCACATTGTTCACAGACCATTTCTGGTAATATCAGATCCTTATTCACCATGTTGGAATCCTCTGCAAGAAACTTACGACATTTTTGCATTAACATTACCTTTTTTAAATGTATACTTCTGAAAAATCATTTTGTACCTTTAAAGATCTTTCAGCCTCCTGCTTACCTGGCCTTTGTTAAACTGTTAAATTTCAACATTTTTTGTTCCTTTGCTATACTGTCCTTTTTCTCTCATCATAGGGTCATGATCTCTGTAACTGTTTAGAGCTCTTTAGAGCTACAAAGGTTTATATTATAGATACTTTTAAAAAATGAAATACTCCATGGCCTGTAGGTCTTTTCATGACATGCCATCTGCTGAATGGTTCTACAGAAGATAAATGACTCACAATCACAACCATTCAAAACAATAAGTAGATAAAGTACAATTGCTTTCCACTACCGTTGTATTTACCTGTTCAAGATGTTCGGGTTTTACAATTATATCCATCTGTTGGTACGTTTGATCCTTCGAGAGCAAAAGAACAATATTTCAGAATTGGGAAATTTGGGTCTGGTAAAATTAATATTAATATAAAAACATTCATATCTGGTCTTCACACTGGATTATAGGATATATTTATTAGTAAATAAAGCAGTGTAAACTGATTTCTATTTTTGTAGAAAAGGTCTTGATTTGTGTTCATCATTTATTTCCTACACACATAAAAAATTCCCATACCATCTATATTTGAATCAGAATATGTTAACTTCTCGCTTCTTCATCTATAAAATCACATTTTGATGGAACACTAAGGGGTACTCTGATATTTCATCTTTCAAACGGCAGTGTACTGAGTATTAGTTTGACAATAGAAGGTATCATGGCTGAGCCCAAACATCTCACACTATTTTAAACAAGTTACAACTAAAATAGAAAGTGCACTGAGGTTCAGATCACACATTGTAATAACAATCTCAATAGCACAAAAAAAAGGTTTCAGAGCCAAACATCCACAAAAGAAACAATGAACTTGAGTAGCAGATATTTTATACAGCCTGTTTCATATTTGAAAATTTTACATGGAAAGGATCCATTTGGCTTATTTTATGCCTGTATCAGCTGTCTGAAAGTGCTACATATTCAGTCCTATACATTGCTCTATTCCCCAAAACATTTAAAACGTTTTCAATTGTTTGCTTACTTTCACTCTGAAAGTAATTTGCATTCTCATGTTAAGAGGAGTACCCATATTCCAACAGCTATCTTGATCAAAAGATCTAAATAGTCCAACAAGAGTTGGATAAAATTATTTAAATGATAAAACAATACTTGCTTCAGTATTTTAGTCAGAGACGGAATGTCAGAAAAGAGGGAACTTTTTGTGAAGAAATTCAGCCATGAAAATGATATTAGAAGAAGCTAGAGTTAAGATTGAAATGACTGATGTCACATTGTAACAAGGAGATACGTTTGTCTCTTAGGATAGTGATGCTGAGGTCAGAAGAATACAAATAGCCTAAAATAATTTTGTGAAGTTGAAAGATGTATCAGCAATGAAAACTAGAACTTGAAACAAGGAAAAGGTCATAAGATGCTAGATAGTTTCTAATTTCCTAAATACAATAAGGAAGACAATAAGTAAAGACCTGTGGCAGAAAAAGAGGCCTTTAAAACAGGATAGTAAGACATATGCTTAAAATTCATGAACAGACCATAACAGAAATGAAAGAGTGCTTGAAACTGCAAGACCAAAAAGAAACCTAAAAAGTGACATGCAGCAAAGAAAATGTCAATAATTTGACTATTTGATTAGAGCTGAAAAGCTCTCTTCTGGACGGCAGAGTGACTAGCTTTCTCTGATTGGGTCACTGGTCTTGTGTGTTTGGTGGTTTGCTGCTGGATGCCCTTTGCCCCACGTTCCTGAGACAGCAACAAGAGATTGCTGGTGACTCTTTTTGCCAAAAAAAGTTTTCATGCAGTAAGCAGTTCCTCACTAGAGCATTGGAGAGAGCAGACAGAGATCAATAAGGCATATATTGTAAATAAACAAAATGTGGATTGTTGCAAATTTCCCGGTTCTGTATAGAATTTGAATTTATTTACAGAAAGCACAACTGCAGCTCCCCCAACCTACCTCTACTGTTTTACCAGCACTGACTATTCAGCCACTTTTTTTCCTGCATTCCATAATTTCCCTCATCTCTTTGCACCCCACCACCCCCACCCTAGAGTTGGTAACCTGGAGTTAAGGGCACAGAAAGAAGGATCGACCTGGGCATGCTTGGATGTTAGATGTCAGAGAGGTTGCAGATAAACGAGAGTGAATGTGTGAGGATGACGCAAGACAGATGAACATGACATACCATGATAGCAGATCTCCTTGTAGGAGTAGCTGCAATCAGGACCTGAAGAAACTCCCATAATTGAATGTGCAGGAAGGACATTAGGAATCGTAGGCTATATTCAGGTTAGTTAATTGGTTTATTGACCTTGACCCTGGACACAACAAAGCCATATCCTGCAAAGACATTCTTGTGAATATCTTTGGAATTGTGCCAAAAGCTGTCCCTCAGTCTAACTGAGCAGGCCTCTGATACAGTACACTCGGCTTCATATAGTCAATGTCTAAGACATCAGAAATGATGTCACAATGATTAACAGCTTTGGACTCAAGACTGACTCTGGAGTCCATGTGGTCTCAAGGTATCAGATATATCACTTGGAAAAAGAATTGAAAATAGCAAGAATATGCTCTGTGCAGGGATTTCAGTGGCTATCATGAAACAGTGTTAGCAAAACAACTGTCTAAAATCTGAAGGAGTGGGCCTCTGGTTGATGTTGACAGACTATATGAAAAGCTAGTCAACCCTTCCTTCCCCATCGACCTCTCACAGATATGCATCTTTTTACCTGACAGTATTAGTAGGAATGATCACTGCAGTCCTTTTGGAAATACAGTCTTATCTTCACACTGAGGACACCATTCACTGGGGAGAGCAGCAGCAGAACTGAAGTTCTGTAACCTCAGTTTGTAACCTCATGGTATAACATAACCATCAGTCTACCATTACTGCAATGGCAAGACAGCAACACTAGTTCAGTGAGGAGTGCAACAGACAGCATGCCAGGAGCAGCAGCTTGCTTTCCTAACTAAAATGAGATGCTAACCCAGTGAAGCAACAACACATGCATACTAGAAAGAGAATACAGCATGCAACAGAGTCAGTTAAGCAGTCCCAGAATCAATGGATCAGATTGAAGTTTTGCATTTCTGCAACATCTGTTCTATGAAGGACAATGGGCAACTGAACAAATGGAGGATAAGGCTCAATTAGCATTCTATAATAGTGCATCACAGTATATCAGTGCAGAGGATAAGGCTGACATATTTGGAGTCATGTTCAGTCAAGAACAAGAATGCCAGTAGATCACCCACATCAATTACGCCTCATTACAGGAAAGATGTGGAAGTGTTGGAAAAGGTGCAGAGGAGATTTACCAGGATGTTGCCTGGAATGGAGGGAAAGTCTTATGAGGAAAGGTTGAGAGAGCTAGGGCTTTTCTCTTTAGAATGACGAAGGATGAGAGGTCACTTGATAAAGGTGTACAAAATGATCAGAGGTATAGATAGAGTCGACAGCCAGAGACTTTTTCCTAGGGTGGAGGTAGCTATTACGAGGGGGCATAGTTTTAAAGTGAGTGGAGGTAGATATAGGGGAGACGTCAGAGGTAGGTTCTTTACTCAGAGAGCGGTTGGGGTGTGGAATGCATTGCCGGAGTTGGTAGTGGAGTCGGCCTCATTAGGGGCATTTAAGCGGCTATTAGATAGGCATATGGATGATAGTATAAGGTAGGGGTGGAGGTTAGATAGACCTTAGGATTAGGGTAAAAGTTCGGCACAACATTGTGGGCCGAAGGGCCTGTACTGTGCTGTACTGTTCTTTGTTCTATCAAATTGTTTGAGGTTTCTGGATCATATATGCCAGTTTTCAAACAACTCGATTCACTCCACAAGTGATCAAGAAATGGTTGAGTGCACTGGCTAATGGCCTAGACAACATGGCTGTCGCATTAAGATCCATGGTCCATAATTAGCCACACCCTAGTTAAGCAGTTCCTGTACAGCTACAATACTGACATCAACCTGATTTTTGTGGAAAATTTCAAGCTATGTCCTGTCCACAAAATGCAGGACAAGCTCTGGCTAAGAGATCTCAGTTCAAGAACAGGTTATGTCCTTGGTATAATACAGACCTCCCATTTCAAACATGTTTTAAATATCAGACTAGTTTCTATTGATATCAGGAAGGTACTATTTTGGGCCATCTGCTTTGCATTATATATTTTTTTAATTCATAGAGTTTGGATATCATTGGCAATCTCAGTAAAGGCAAAGTCTCCATAGGGCCACACTCTCATTAGAGAGCAACGACTGGTGGTGGCTTAACCTGAGGATCACCATGTCTCAGGTGAGAGGAAAAGTTGAGAAAGAGACTCCTTCATGGTAACCTCAGCTGGGAGTTGAACACACACTGTTGGTGTATCTGCATTTCAAACCAGCTGTACAACCGAGTTAACCAACATCCAACAAGCTCAGTGTTTTATTGCCCAACCTTAATTGCCCTTGGAGAAGATTGTGATGAGCTGCCTTCTTGAAGTGTTGAAGTTCATTTCAACAGTTCTGATGCAACTGAGTGATTTATCAGACCACTTCAAATGGCATTTCTGAGGATCTGGAGGCCAAATGGGGTAGAGACAGTAGTTTCCTTTCCTGAAGGATATTAGGGAATTAGTTAGGTTTTTATAATAATCTGATATTTTCATGGTTGCCACTATTGAGATGAGTTATTTAATCCAGATTTAATCAAAATTATAATTCCCAAATGCATGCGTAAATTATTATAATAAGCAAGCAGAATGACGTTATTGCACATTTCAGTCATATTTGGAGCCATCCAAATTTCTACACTCAATGTTTCATTCTTTCCTCACCTTTCGAGTTTTCCCACTCATAAATCATCTAAAAATTGGCAGCTCTGAGGACCAAATTCAGTGCTACTCTGATCATCTGGTAGGGTATCTAAGTTCGAAATTTCTCCACAGTATTGAGGCTATATTAAACGATCATTTGTACGTGACGTGAATGCTGACTGATCACATTACTAAGCACCTGTCTTGTTTCTGTTGTTCCCCACATAGGATTATCAGAACAAGGTCCAAAGGATCCAGCCACAGCAGGGTTATCATCACTCTGGCTGTGGTGCAACAAAGGGTCAGAGGAAATGAGGGAGATCACATACATCCGATGCTCAGGCCAAGCAGCAACCTCTAGAAGCCGTCTCCATATTAAGTAGTAGCAGCTGAAGGTCCCTCAGGTGTGGAGGCAGTACAGGAGGCCCAGAGTCTATTATCCTAGATGCCATTTCCTCCAAATGATTAAGGTCCAATGCTGCCACAGACTGAGGATGTCTCAGGATACTGTCAAAAATCTGTGTCATCTGCTGCAACATGACATGGACCTGGACGGATGGGAGGGCCATCAAGGTGATAGCTGCACTGAACTTTTGTGTAACTGGCTGGTTCCACTGAGGACCTATGTGAGATCACTCAATCCTCAACCCACAAATGCATCAAGGCTGTTACTGATATAATATGCGACAGATCTCGTTTCCACATGCAACCACAGCAGTAAGTTTTGCCAGGATAGCTGGCTGCCCGGAGCTGCGTGGGCTGTAAATGAAAATCCCCGTAACTCTGCATTTACCATTATTAATCAATCTAAACTGCACATCCCTGGACACCATAGGGCAATTTAGCACAGCCAATCCACCTAACCTGCAGATCTTTGCACATGCATTATGAAGGCTGTTCATGACTGACAGCGACTGACTTGATACGCATATGAACTTTAAATATGACACTAGCCAGGGAATGCCCTAGTCCTAGCAGTGAGTGCAAGGTAGCATGAGACTAACATCAGATAGGTGTGGTGAATACATAAAGAGGTGAACAGTTGAGAGTTGTGTGACAGATCTTATGCAAAGTAACCCTCCATGAAACAGCACAAAAATCAACATAGCTGACTTTTGGTAAAATTCAGCCCCAAAGCTCCATGTGAACATTTTTCAGTCTAGGTTAGGTAATGATAGATGCATGTTGATAGACGAAAGAGAATACTGCATGTGAGCAGTCTCCAAAAACTCTTCAGCAAGGTTACATTATAAACTGTCCACAATGTACCTCACATTCAGGTATACCTCACACTCATTTTAATTTCTGAAGATTGTAAAAAAATTTAAAAGCAAGAGGACACAGCCACTAAAATATGTACTGGAGAGTACAGAACAGGAAAAAGATTCACCCTAAATCTAAGTGGGATAAATTCTGAAGACTAGAGAAGCTCAAACTTTCCAGAACAAAAAGATAGCAGTTAAGGAAGGCAACCTCACCCGAATAAATATCACTTCAAATTAGGATGGGAAACTAGAATCATTGTATATCAATTTATCTTCAGTAGTTACAACAATATTGCATGACAGTTCACAGTCTTCTGCAGCTTACAGATGCACATTACTGCATTTTTATATCTACTTACATGGTGCTACACAATCCACAATCTAAGTGACCAGCAATACTGTCTACACAGGAGAACAAAATTTCAAAGCTGGCAAACTATAAATAATTCATACAGCTTAAAAAAAGTCATAATCTCATACATCAAGTAAATCTCCTTTCTAATCTCTTTCTCGATGTCAAAATACTCTGAATGCAAATAAAAACGATATCCACATAAAATATATCCGTATTTTCAAATTATTTGTATATTAGAAATAGTGAAAATCAGAAGTTTAACTAGCACTAAATTATAATGGTCATTGATGGGCCTGACATATTTTCTAACCATTCTTTGGTACATTCATTGATATGACCGAAGGAGACTGTCTGTAACAGAAAACTTGCCTCAGAATTTTTATTTTCACTGATCAATAATCTGCGTGTGCAAGGTCCCATAGATTGTATAAATGCTGCAATTATGGGATTTGGAAAAGGTAAAGCTGCTAGTGCAAAACATGTTATTTTTTCACTTCTTTCATTCTTGCACATTTAAACTGAAGTTCATAAAAACACATATTGTTTCAGTTGATAAACGTAAATTAGTTTTCTTAGCAAACTCTGTCTAATTTAAAAACCAGTAGCACACTGTTTTTATTTCGGCTGAATGTTTGATGTAATATTCTACCATGTCCAATGAATTTTCTCAGACTCTGATATAAGAAATATAATAATCACAGGCTATGCAAGCACTTACCAAGGTTTCCTCCAAATCTTCAGCCCCTCCTTTAGATCTTTGATTCACCTGACGTGTAGAAACAGCATAATTTAGTGTGTTATATCCGCATATATTTTATATATATATATGTACATACATTTTACACATATATACACACACATACATTTTACACATATATACACACACAATTTATATATTTAGTATACAGTGACATAGCTAAGAAAAGCTGCATAACATGTGGCTCTTCTGACCTTTCCTGAATTTAATTTCTCAAGGGGTAATTTGTGACTTGTAAAAACTTTAGAAGAAGAAAGAGAACACTGAAATTTGTCCTATATCCCAATAATGGACAGCAATTGTGGTTTACTCTAGCTGTAATTCCTTTTCTGATCCAACTAAATGTCATTTAAAAAAGAAACACTGTAGAATAATTACAAAAGAACTGAAGCAATTGCAACCTGATTTGGATCAATAAATCAAAGTAATTAAACATGCTTTTTGTTGTTTTTTGACCAGTTACTGTGATCAAAAAGATAATTAAATTTGGTATTAGGATTCACATAGTCAACTGCATCTCCTATTGTACTGTTCACAGTCTTGTCTGCAAGGAGCAGCATGATTGAGAGAGCAATCGATTATTGGGCATAGATCTACTGGGTAGTGTGTCTCAGGGGATAATGCAATCTCCACTCTCTTATTCCACATTTGATCATCTTTTGTCTGAAAAAGCAGTTTTGAATTTCTATTCTAAGCTTTTTCCTTTACTAATCTTATCCCTTACTTTATTTCCTAAATAGTATCCTGGGTTAACATTTTCTTTACTTTTACTATCATATGAGGCTTTACAAAGTTATTTCTTAAATTCCTTTCTTGAACCTACAACCAGAGTTGCTGCAATCTTTTTTGATAACTAATGCTCATGACATTGGGAATGAGTTTTGTGGTTCATTTTGTAAACTTTAGTGCAAGAATATCTCTTGTTTCTTGGCAACCAGAACTGGATGCAGTGTTCATGTTTCAGGGAGGCCTGCCTCCCCACCGCATCACATGCTAGTGGATGAATTACCCTCAAACTATGTGACCATGTGTTTCTATTGTGGAAAGAGATACCTATAGCCCTTTGTGGACTTGGCTCCTTATGTATATTTATATATTAATATTGCACTGATCGAATTAGGTTGGCATCATCGGCAAACTTTACCACTGCTTACTGAGTTTCTGAATGAGTCATCTATGAAAATTACAAACAATAAACAACTTACACAGTATTTTCCCCTCTCACTGATCCAGCTCCTACAATGAATACACATTGTTTCCTAATCTTCAACTGGTTATTAGGCTTGCAACTTTGAAGTTAATAATCTTTCATATAGAACTCTGTGAAAAGTATTTTTGAAGCCGAGGTACACCACACTGTACAGATACATTTAAGGTGGAGACAAGCACAAGTGTGAAGGGAGTAGAGGGTTACATTGAAGAATTTAGATGAGGACAGATGTGTGAAGGTTTGAGTGAAGCATAACTATATCAAGCGTTACTTGGGCCAAATGTCCTGCTTCTGTATTTTGTACTCTATGTATATAAGGGATTACCACAGTCCAGTTGGGAGAAAGGTAGAAAAAATATTGTGAGTGATGGGCTTTGGGGCGGGGGGGAATGGTTTGTATTGGTGGGTGGAAGTGGCAGACAGTCATCTCACCTGTTGATGGATGGTCACTGTTGGGCTCAGATAGTCATTTTCCAAAATCAAACCTTCCTTTTCTTCCATTGCAAATTCGTCAAAAGTTTGATCTTTAGTATTTGAATTTTCAGCTCTAGAAAGAAATATTTTTATATCTACATTTAAACTAATTTCCGCTATTAACACATTTCCCATGTTGTTCATAAATTATGCATCAAACTGTAATAACATATTGACCTGTCCTATTTGCCTGCTAAATTTCCCATACAGTTTTTCTCTCTCCGCGCAACTGTATCGAAACCGTCACAGGAACATGCAATCCTTGTCTAAGCAACTACTCATCAGGAGGTGTTGCATTCAGTTTTGGACCCTGCTGTTCAGGAAGGATATACTGGCCTTGAAGTGAGTGTAGCACAAGCTCACCAGAATTATATTTGGCTTAAAAGGTTTAAATGATAAGGACTGGTTGGTGAACTGTGTATTAATTCCCTTGAGTACAGAAGGTGAGGGGAAATCTAATCAAAGTTTATATAAAGTTAAAAACGGTAAAAATGGAGAAAATATTTCCTCTGGTAGGAGATCAAAAACAAGGAGACATTCTTAAAATTAGGACTAGACTATTTAAAAACTAAATCAGAAAGCTCCTTTTCGCACAGAATGTAGTGGAATTCTAGAACTTTCTCTCCAAAAAGATATAGATTCTGTGACTAGATACAGAGATACAAGGGCTAAAAGGGACAATGGGGTTTTGGTAAAGGGACATGAGTGATGTTTTGTTTTATTCTTTTCCTTAAAAGAGCCAAAGCACTCAGGCATGCTTTTCACATAGCGTGCCTTTGTCCTGGCAGCCACAGTGGCTGCCTCAGTACTGTTTCAGGGGAAGGGGTGGGCTTGACTCCCATTAACACCTGCCCTCCTGAAATAAAAATCAGAACATCTCAAGCACTTTCTCCCGAGTTGAGTTTGCAAAGTTGAGAATTTTCTCAGCTCTACATTATTGACTCTAGAGTGGAAATTCAGACCTGTGTAACAGCTTGTGCCATCTCAGTTGCTGATTCCTTTCTTCACCCAAGATAAGGCCATATGATTTACCAGGTAATTACTGATTCTAAATCATTATAATCTGGAGAAGAGTATAATCTGCAGAAGATTAATTTTCCCTTTTTACCCCAGAGATACCAACTGAAGTACTTTAATTGTCTTTCTACTGAATTTAGAATAACAAGTGCAAAATGGATCTTTCTATTCTGAATGGCTCGAAGGTGGACCAGAAAATATACTTTCTGAACCACTGGAGGAATAAATAAATAAAAAAGTTCAGTTCTGGTACATTAAAGCCTGTGTTTACAGTTTTGCTTTACAAGGCCTAACTTTTTATTTATAAGTTATTTACTTCAAGTAAATAAATCAAAATACTCAAACTTAATGACCAAGGACAATGTGGATTTTTATGCAGCAATAGTGTCATTATGGCCAATACAGTTCAACATTAAAGTTCTGATGAAATAATGAAAGCATCCACACCCATATATTTGCATAAATATGACATTACCGTTCCAAAGCCCAAGAGAAGAATTCATCTTTTTGATTTACATCCACTTGCGTTTTACTGTTATCGTCTGTACATCTGGTGGTTTGCAGAGAACAACTCTCCTCTTCATCTGCAAACCTGAGATGCAGAAAATACATATAACTTCTACGCCAAGCATTATATTAAATATACTAGATCCAATTAAAGGCATGCAGGAGACCAAACAGCATTACTTCCTATATTGTTAACAGGACAACATTTCTGATTTTCAAAATAATTTTGATGAATGTGGTGCATTGTGAAAGACTAAAAGCATTTACCAGGAGTGTATGAGGAACTTGATTTCTTTGATGACATTGGTTATTTTCCTGATCCATGCAGTGTTAAAAATATTCTCACGCCAAAACTCTCAATAGGGTGCAACATGTCTGGTTTGAATTGGTATGGTGCCTGGAGCTACCGTTCCAGAGTTAAGGTTTTTTTCTAAAGTCAATTTTTGGTAAACAAACAAACATGACAGACTCAGAGATAGTAGGAACTGCAGATGCTGGAGAATCTGAGATAACAAGGTGTAGAGCTGGATGAACACAGCAGGCCAAGCAACATCAGAGAAGCCGGAAAGCTGACGTTTCCGGCCTAGACCGAAGAAGGATCTAGGCTCAAAACATCAGCTTTCCTGCTCCTCTGATGCTGCTTGGCCTGCTGTATTCATCCAGCTCTACACCTTGTTAACATGACAGACTCTGCTGGCTATATATATTGGAGCTTTAAATGTTAAAATTATAATTTATTCAATAAACTTAAGAAGGCATGTTAAATTAAGTAAGATAAAAAGAACAGCAAAACAGGAAGAGAGAGCAGTTTCTCATCTTAAAAGGTTTACTTCATTAAACGCTTTGAATTTTAAAAGTAAATAGAAAGTATCATTTGTACCATGTTGAAAAATCAGAAAAGCTACATACAATCTAATATTAATTCAAGTCACAGACAGATCTCTATGTGTTTCCAAGAACCAATCTCAAAATTGATCTTGATTTCTGATAAAGTTACAAACCAATTCTGCTAATACCCTTCCCTTCTCTTCACAGCTGAGAGAAATAGGAATGCAACAGTGAAGGTAGCCTTACATTCAACTCTCTGGGTGGAGTCTTCCCACCCCCTAAACATGTAGGCAGTAGCAAATCAGCTGGGAAATCATGGTGAGATTGGAAAAGAGTTTGTCAATGTTGAGAAAAAATTTCTGATTTTGCCCATAAGATTTTAAAGGCTAGATGAGAATCTTGATAATGAGTGACAAGAGGCCTATTTGCAGGCATTAACATCTCTTGATATGTAATCTCACCTCATTTATATGAAATTTGCCATTTTCTCAGATAGTGGAGGGAAACTAGATAGTGACAATTCCTGACATGAAAATCTGAGCAGTTACCTGATGGCTGGTTATTCTCTGTGCATCCGTCTTGGCAGCATTCCCTAACGTGGTTGACATACTCCACAGAAAGTGAAAGCCTGCATCCCTCATTCATGAAGGCTGGCATTGGACAAGCACCAACCTCACTACATAATCAGGGCAGTCCTCCAATTTACTTACAATACATTTAACCATATCAAGGATTACTGTCACCTTCACTGCAATGTTGCTGCCAGGATGCTTTGTGCACTGAGAAAGGCATCCAGTGCAGAGATAGGAACAGGCTGCACCTCAAGAATCTCACTGATTTTCTTTACACTCACTCACTTTAGCCCACTTCAATGCTCAGACCATTCCTGCCTTGCCTTTTTGTGCATTGTTGCGTTATTCAGAGCTTAGAGGCTCACAGTACTTCCGCCCTGTCTTGCCTTTTAACACAGCAATGATCAGTCAAAGGATGGGCATGTTGTTGTATGGCATCCGTGCAATGTCAATATCACACCTGCAGTTTGCAATGTGCTTCAAAAAAAAAATCAACATCTAACGTCTAAGGGGACCTGTCCTCAGTCAAGGGGGTACCATCATCAGTCAGGGGGTCCAGCACTCAGTCAAGGGCATCGCTTGATACCAGTGTGGAGCTTTGAACACAGTGAAGGACTTGAGGTGATGTTGGAAATTTGGGGTCACTCTAAGTTATTTTAGTATTCCATATTTTGTGTTGCCTGTGTGAAATGAAACCTCATTTAATTGCTTTACAGTAGTCAATAGCCTCCTGCAAAGGTGAAGATCTATTGGGTACCACATTACTCTGATTATAAATGCAGTGTTTGGGAAAATAAGAAACTCTTCTCCCTAGAAGGAATGAAAATTAATCTGTAAATGGAGGTGGGCAAGGCGACAACGGTTATCTTGCATCATGACTACGTGCCCCATGGTCATTGGTCAAAAGCATTCAGACAAGTGACTGGCACAGCGTATGCTACTAATCTTGAGAAATAGAGTATAACAACAAGTGCTGAGGGGCAGAAGGCAGTTGTCATCGCTACAGTCCTTGTCAAGGAGCCGTCTTCCCCAGATGAAAGATGGACCAGAAAAGGGTGAGGAAGATCCAGGGAAGAGTTCACTAACACTTTGGCAAGAAAGCAGAAAGCTGTCTTCACACTTTAGTGAGACTGACACATTGCTTACAAATGGTTGACTGTCTACATTAGGTAACTCTGAAATCAAATCCCCCAAAAGCAACAGCGGTCAGGGTCGGGGTGCCACACACCTTTACACTGGTGGAGTGGGTCACAGTTAATCCTATGGTTCCAATACAACCAGGAGGGAAGTAGCAGTAAGATAGTAAGGGAGCTGCACAGATATCAGTTGGGTCTTTTAGTTTATTCATTTATGGATGTGGGTGTCACTGGTTAATCCAGCATTTATTATCTATCTCAAGTTGCTCTTAAGAAGGAGCTGGTGAGTAGCTTTCTTAAACTCCTGCAGTCCATTTGCTGTAGCTATACCCACATTGCTGTTAGGGAGGGAATTCCAGAATGCTGACTGAGCAGCACTGACAAAACAGCAATATAAATACAAGTTAGGATGGTGAGTGGCTTGGAAGGGAACTTGTAGGTGGTAGTGATCCCCTTATCTGCTGCCCTTTTCTTTCGAGATGGTAGTGATAATGGGTTTGGAAGGTGTTGTCTAAGGAGTCTTGGTGAATTTCTGCATTTCATCTTGTGAATGGTATACTGCTGTGTGTCAGTGGACTAAGAATGTTTTGCGGATGTGGTACCAATCACACAGGCTGCTTTGTCCCGGATACTGTCAAGCTGCCGAAGTGTTGTTGAAATTGCAGTCTCCAGACAAGTTCAGAGTATTCTATTACATTCCTGACTTGTGCCTTGTAGATGGTGGACAGCATGTCGGGGTGTGAGTTACTTACTGAAGAATGCCTAGCCTTTAACTTGTTCTGCCAGTCACAGTTTTATGTGGCTACTAACGGGATCAAAGGTTAGAGGGAGAAGGCAGTAGAATGGGGGTTGGGAAACATATCAGCCAAGATCAAATGGCAACGCAGACTCAATGTGCTAAATGGCCTAATTCTGCTCCCATATCTAATTGTCTTATGGTCCAAACAGCAGTGGGTTTTCTCCCATATTCACAGTGATCCTAGTTTTGCGAGAGCTTCTTGATACTACACTTGGTCACATGTACCTTCACTGATATCAAAGGCAGTCACTCTGATCTCTCCTTTGGTGCTCAGCTCATTCGTCCATGTTTGAACCAAGGCTGTAATGAAGTCATGAGCTGAATGGCCCAAGCTGATCGAAAGAGCAGGTACTGAATCTCACTCTTTGCTGGGCTATGTCCAAGTTGCATCGATATTTTTGGAGGATTAGTTGAACAAGCCTAGAATGTTCTCCTGGCTTATCTTACCAAACTCGCCTCATTAATTATTACCACACCCTATAGTGTCTCTCATGTCAATTTCCTCCTCATCTTGTTACAAACCATTCCTGGAACAACTTGCTACTCAATAGATATCCCAGAAATCAGTGGCATCCATTGTACTCCCGCATCTTTGAATGGTCATTATGGACAAGCGCCATTAGTCAGACCTGTCCTGCACAGTTGCTGACATTTGCCCCAGACAACGCCGATGGTGAAAATTAGCACTCTGCTTTGTGGGCAGGGTCCTGTACATGGGATTTCCTCCTGCCTTGCTTACTTGTTGCCTGATTCTGCCACATATCTCACCATACAAAAATAAGGCCATTCATCAGAAGTAACATCGTCTTCACTATCCTACAGTGTAGCAGCGTCGCTTGTAGCATCCCTGGTAAGATTTCTTTGGTGACCACTTCTAATGATACTGAGTTGTGTGAAATCAGTTTTCACTGATGAAATGTTTTGAGGCCAGCATCCCCTGGCTAATCCCAACTGTAAATGCAGAGTACCAGCTTGTCCTTACTTCATATTTCCTGTTGTTTAATAAAAGTTAAGGTTACAGCATCCTCACAACATGTGATGTTCCTTAATTCAGTTATGACAATGTTACTATGAATGCTACACAAAGAATAGCTATTCTTCTGATAGGACTAGAACATAATTTGTCACTAAAGATAGCTAGCTTCACTACTTAAATCCTTGTAGCTGCAGTAAATGAGTCAATCATGCAGCTGATTCTTAAGTGAACACATATTTACCAATGTCATAACTGATTTACAATGAAGTTTCATCTGTGTATCATGTGTTCTCAGAAGTTTTTTTTTCCTTTCCCTCCCAATTGATCTAGGTGCTGTCCTAGGATCAACAGCAGGGATTGACGGAGTCTGCACTATAATGGAGCCTGGGGAAATGAAACGCAAATTGAGTAATCACTTAGGGAACACTTACGCTCTGTATGTAAAAAAAACTTCCAGTTGCCTGACATTTCAACATCTTCATGTACACTATTTTCCACCAGCCCCAACCCCACCTGTCTTCAGCATGAATACGACACTTACCCAGCTATTTTCAGTTCTGAAGGGTCACTGGACTCAAAATGTTATCTCTGCTTCTCTCTACAGATGCTGCCAGACTTGCCGAGTTTCTCAAGCACTTTCTGTTTGACTATAATGGAGCCTGTTGACCATGGAGTTTTGGGTGGGTCACCTTGAGGACTTTCGTGGGGAGACAGCCCAGGTATACTGAGAGTGCCCTGGCCAGCTGCATGTTCTCCTTTCTCAGAATGAACTTGCACAGAATCTGGTACTGCAGGCAGGGTGGAACTAGAAGGGCAGGGCACCTCTAGAATGTGCTGAGAGGAGACTTTTAGTGGGGGAGGGGTAGCCTCTATGTGGCTGACTGCCTGCTGCCTTGATGTTGGTGCTGAGCACCAATGGCTACAGCAACAAGGTGCACGTCTGTATCCGTACTGAGGAGACACACTGGATCATGGCAGTAGCCAAACTGCCCATAACAATCAGACACATGCATGTTGGAGCCAACACAGCACAGATGGTTTAAAGGCCTTTTCCAAACACTGATTATTTTTTGAATTTCTCAGACAAATTTGCCCTCTGCTCCTTTTTCAGCTTAAGCATTTTGATGAAGTTATTAATGGCTGACATCATGAGGTCTCCTCCTGCCTGCAGCTGAGCAGGTGCTTGGTCTCCAGCTATCCTCCAAGTGCCAGCGACGTGAAGGATTTCTTCCTCGACCAGCCATGGAGACATGCCTGTGAAGTGCCCACCAGAATGTGTTCTCAAGTTTGATCCAGTTAAATTACTCACTGACTTGTCGGTACCTGAGCCGGTGCGAGTGCAGGAGACAGGCTTTCTGGTGCTTCCTTCAAGATAACTGTGAGGAACTGAGTGAGGTGAAAGTGGCTGGCATAGTTGTTAGTGCTAGTGCAGGTGGAGGAAATATGGTGAGGTATCCTAAAGGAGTGACAGAGGAGTTTGGAGAGATAGTATAGGTGATAGCTACAGAGGGAAGATGCTGCATGTAATAATGAAAATATTTGGCACAGAGCTTTGGTGGGAGATATATGCAGCAGGAGAGTTAGAACGAAAATGAGTTAGCAAAGACAAGATGGTGATGCTTATGTTTCTGGAGTCCAAAAGGTCATTAACTTTCTTCCTGCATTTCTGGCCATTCCTCTGCACTTACCTGGTGGCAACAGATTGACAGGATCTACTGCTGTGGTCTCCTTGGCTTCCTCTCAACTACCCACTCTATCTCTGTTAGCAAATAAGGGGTATCATCACAGTTGGCCATCTCTGGGACAACTCTTGACAAACTGCAACTGTGAAAGGCAAGTCCTGGATTGCAGCATTTCAACTGGTATACAGCTGGGATTGAACTAAAGCGTTGGTGGCAGGAATCCTGGAAGGTTCTGGCAGTAGTGAGCAGTGATCCTTCTAAGCTGCATTGCAACTCCATAGTTCTTCACATGCCAATGCGAAGTCACTGCTGCACATGGACCTTGGAAGTCTGTGCACCAAAAAGACATTAGAGAGAGAACTGGCAGTGCTTCTGCTATTGGTAAGCACAAGATGATAGTGGCGCTGTGGGGCTACAGTGCATAATTAATGGGGTGACCAGCTCCAAAATTCCACGAGAAAATTTATTAAAGTTTCCACCACAAAACTGCTTGAAATTGACACGTAGCAACTTTTTGGACATATTCAATCCCCATGTGACAAATATCAGGTCTCTGCCCTCCACTGTCTGTCCAGCAGTTTAAACATTCAGTTCTGTCAATTTGGTGCACCATTGCCGCACCGTGCAAGTTGTTAAGGTGTTTTCAGCAGCATTTCCAATCATGTGACTTCCACCATGAAGAAAGACAAATGCAGGAGATGTATGCCAACATTATCACCTCTGAGTCAAAGACCATTCCAACTTGTAAATATACTGCTGTTCCTGCATGATTTTAGAATCAACTCCCTAACTCCCTACTAAACAGTGGATGAGGATATCTGGGAATACTTTCAACATTTGTACAACAGTGGTTTAAGAAGGTGGTCCTTTTTAAAAGCATTTAGAGATTGATAATAAATGTTGGCTTTTAGCAATGCCTATATTCTGCTTTTATACATAAAAGGGACTTTGCATGCCACCGAACTCACATTTCTGCTAAAGCTGAAGACATCCAATCCAATTTGGTCAAAATCTGGCATTGTTCCACAGTGTTTACAAAGCCCGAGAGTGCCCCCTTTGTATTTAGATTCCTACCAATTATTGTTAACCAGTATTGACCTTTGACAGATACATCTTGAAAAAAACTGCTGCATATTCTCAACATCAAGAATTGTTACGGAATGAAACCTAAATGTGTAGATAAAGGGAAAGAAAAATACCACTCATTTATGGATTTCATATTATTGTAATCATTAATAATTCTCAGTCCTTGTTGAATTAGCAACATGCTACAAGAAAACACATTTTCCATCTCACAATGAACAATGGCACAAGGCATATGCTACTACAATAAACAGTTTCTACTTACCGATTTGTTTCATCACTAGAAACATTGTCAGCTTGAATGGAAATACTTGGAATGCCTATGAAATACAAGTAATAGGTTAAATTGCACCAGTGTATTTCCAATACCACTTTGTTAAAGCAGTTTGCAGATTCTAAAGTCATGTGCAAATTTTAATGCAGTCAACAGACAGAATCACTAACACTGATAAAACTTTATCTTAAGTTGGTCGGTTTGTTTAGGAAGGCTTGCCATGCTTTCAAGCAACGAACACGTACCAAAAACAAAAATATTAAACGGCATTGAGATGGAATCGACAGTAGCATGTTCTGGTCTACAGAATGCAATAAATATCCAATAAATAAATTACACTTAATGGTTACTCATGAACTTCTGGCCCGCCCTTACCAATTTGTTGAAGTATTCTTGCATTTTGTGTTCAATTTTTGAAATGCAAATTTATGCACTTTGAAAGAATACAGATTTTCCGACCACTAAACAATTATTTCAAGAGAACTTCCAATATTTCACTTCCTGAAATGTGTGTTAATTTAACATGTGAAAGAGAAAAACAAAACCAAATTTTTATAAAAATGATAAGACTTTGATCAAAATATATGTGAACAGCTGGTCTAAAAGTTCATGTCATGCAGGTTCCAAGAATTTGAAGTGTTATATTAATCAGAAGTATATAAATATGTTTAATTTGCTTGTAATGCACAAATAGTTCTCTGTCATAGAAAACTCTTTGTGGCATACCTGACAATATTTAGATTTTTTAGCTTCTCAGTATTTCCAAACTCTCACTGCGAGGGATAGAATCTAACCTGCACTGCGTGACTGGACAACACAGTGTACTGTAAAGTCTGCAGCAGATTCCGGCCTGCACAGAAGTGATGGGCAGCTCCTACTGGTAGTGGAGTTTCTTTTAGGATGTGAGAAAATGTCTTCTCCATGCTGATGAAGGAGAGCCTCCCATTTTGTAAGCGGCACTGTTGGTAAGGATGTCGGGAGTAAGGTCCCAACTGTATCATATTCTGGGATATCCTTCAGTGTCCAATTTGAGGTTTCCAGCAATGTATCCATACTTTTACTTTTTCTCAGCAATTTCACAACCTTATTTGGTGATTCACTGTGAAATCGTGCCCACATGGTACTGTGGCTTTTATCAGCAGATGTTGCCATATTGGTATTTTCCTGTTCGGGGGGAAAAGCAAAACATTATAATAATTTTTACATTGTTGACATTGTGATGGATTTACAACAATAAGTGCAACTAATGTTACATAATACTGAATTCACATAACTGTCACCATACAGGAGACTATCTGTCTTCTCATATCTATGCTAGCATTCTCCATGCACATTCAGATAATAATCTAATTCCTTCTTGAATTCCTTGATTAAACCTGCGTCTACCATACTTCCAAGATGTACATTCCATATCTTTGTTTGCTGAATGCAAATGTTTCTCATCTCCACAACTTCTTAAATCTGTGCCCTCTTGAACTTGATTCTTCCACCAGTGTGTACAGTTTTTCCTCCTTACTCTACCCCTAACCTAATCTAGGCTCCTCGTGTGTTCTAGAATATTTGTATCAACCTTCTCTTATTCAAAAAAGCCACACCAAAGTCCTTCAATCTATCTGCATCATTGAACTTGGAGGGAGGTTAAGCACCACAGCATGAAGGAGCAGCATTATATCTGATGACAAGGTGGAGCTGTGACTTTTTATGGTGACTAAATCAAAGATGTTTAAGCAAACAATGTTCATTCAAATGATGGTTGCCATAAGGGGTATTATAATATTATAAGAATTCACAATTACTATCAGGACCTACTATTTCCTTCACTCTTTTTGTGAAATTGGCATGATTTCACTGGAAGATGAATATTCTCAAAATACCTAGACACCTGCAGAAAATTACCGATTTTCCCCTGCATAAAGGTTCAGTAAAATTTGCAGTAACTTTAACAAAATAGCATTGTAAATGATAATAAATAACATAGTAAATAACGTTACATCTACTATCATTTTATCCTGTAATCCTTTTCTTCCCCTAAATCCACATGTTGCACTGTGTAGGTATTAAAGCCTCCAAACTTCTCTTCCACAACAGCCATTTTATTATTTAATCATAGAATATTTAATTGGCTGAAAAACGTACTCGTCGATCTCATTCAATTTTGAATACCATTCTAATTGACTCACGATTAAAATAATGTTCTACAGATGGCTTCCCACAATATTCTTACTTGGGAACACTTGTAGCAGAAGTTAAGGATCTATAAAACAAAATTCATTAGTGTAGTTTGTTAGAATGTTTTCTTATTCATTCACTGTTCTGTTCCAAATGATAGAATTTGTTGTGGTAAATCTAGTTCGTTATAAGGAAACTGAGAATTTGTAAAACCTGGTTCAAAATAAGGGAGGGACATAAATTAGTAACAGTTTGGTTATTCTCTGTGAATGCTGATCCAAAGTTGCCAAGCATTTTAAGTATTAATCAAAATCACATATACACATGCAGATCTGCATATAATACATAGGGATAGTTTTCTAAGAGACACCTACTGGTGGCATCACTAACAGTGTTCAAATTTTAAAAGCTACGACCCTAAAACATGATAGTATTCAACTTTCATGAAAAACTGGGTCACACTACATAAACTCTGTAGCAACACTGAAAAGTTTAATAAGTCTGTGTAAGTAACAGACTTGTGATTCCCCAACTGTCACTTGAAGATGATAAGTTCTTGGGCACACCAACTGTAAGGACAGCAAAATTTATCTATCACTATTTCAAAAAAATCTAATTTCTTTAGAAATTAAATTATTTATTTTACAACATATGTATAGTAGTTGACACGGCAAGTCGTACTTAGCTAGAAAAATTGCTAACGAAGAAGCAAGGTATTCAGAGTTTACAATTGTCAACCTTCCCTCTCACTAAAGTTAATTGGCTGGAAAGGGGTCAACATGTTAAGCGGGAGCAATCAGTTCAGGCACAGGACTTTATCAAGGTGGCATAACATAAATTTAGCTTTGCTATACTGGAGCCATAAAATCTAAGTTCTGAATACAAGTTGTATAGAACAAGACATGTATTCTTGAAGGGGGACTTGAACATGGATTCTTTTCACACTGAGGTAAAAGTGTTCGTACTTAGGGTTAATCATTGTTTTAAGTTCTTCCCTCTGTCCCTTTTGCCCCTAATGTTAATCTTTACGTTTAACTTTTTCTGTAGTTAAGACGGGTACAAGTTATTTGTTCAAAGTATTTTCTATTTCTTTGTTTTCCATAATCACTTTCCCAGCCAAATTTTCTAAGGAACTGTAAGACCATTTGAAAGGGGAGGCGATGGCCTACTGGTATTATGGCTGGGTTATCAATCCAGAGACCCAGGTAATGTTCTGGGGAGCCAGGTTCAAAGCCTGCTATGGCAGATGGTGGAATTCAAAGTCTAATGATGACAATGAAATCACTGTCAGGAAAAACCAATCTGGTTGTCTAATGTCCTTTAGGGAACAAAATGTCCCCTTAGCTGGTCTGGCCTACATATGATGCCAGATCCACAGGATACGGTTGACTCTTAATTGCCCTCTGAAATGTACTAGCTCGCCACTAGGTTGTAACAATCACCAGAAAGTCTCAAAGAAGAAATAAAATCAAACAGACTAACAGGCAAGTGATCGAGGCACTGGAAATGACAATGGCAAAAACCAGCCATGTCGAGCCTGAAAAGTCCTCCTTAATAACACCTGGGGTCTAGTGCCAAAATTGGGAAAGCTGTCTCATGTATTAGTCAAGCAACACCCTGACACAGCCACAGTCACAGAACTGTTCCTTGAAAACAGTGTGCCAGATACCACCACCATTATCCCAAGACAGATCCTGCCCCACTGGCAGTTAGACCCAGCAGAGACGGCGGCACAGTGAGATACAGTTGGGATAGAGTTATCTGGAAGTCCTCAATATTGGCTCCAGACCATGAAGTCTCATGACATTAGATCAAACATGGGCACGGGAACATTCTGCTGTGAGCCATCAGCAGAAGCCGAATCAAGCTCTAACACAATCTGCAACCTCACCCTGGCATATCCCCCACTCTATCGTTACCTTCAAATCAGGGGACTGATCATGGTTCAGCAAAGAGTGCAGGATGGCATTGGAGGAACAGCACCAGGCATACCTAAAAATGTAGTGTCAAGCTGGTGAAGCTACCAATCAGGATTACCTGCATGCCATACAGCATCAGCAGCAAGTGATTGAGCTAAATGATTCCAGAGTCAATAGATCAGATCTAAGCTCTGCAGACTTGCCTCATCCAGTCGTGAATGATGGTGGATAATTAAATAATTCACTAGTGGAGGCAGGCCTACAAATACCTTCAACCTCAATAATGGGGGAGCAGAGCAGATCTGTCAAAAGACAAGGCTAAAGCATTCGCAACAATTTTCAGCTACAAGAGCCAAGTGGATAATTTATCTCGGCCTCCTTCAGAGATCTCCAGTATCATACGTGTCAGTTTTCAGGACATTCAATTCACTCCACATCATATCCAGATGCGACTGTAGACACTGGATACTGCAAAGACTATTTGCCCTCACAACATTTTGGCAATAATACCGAAGGCTTGTGTTCCAGAGCTCGCCACATCCATAGCCAAGTTCTTGCAGTGCAGCTACAACACTAGCATCTAACCAACAATGCAGAAAATTGCCCAGGTATGTCCTGTACACACAAAAGCAGGTCATATACACTTAATAGTAAGGTCCTGGGGAGTGTTGCTGAACAAAGAGACCTTGGAGTGCAGGTTCATAGTTCCTTGAAAGTGAACTCACAGATAGACAGGAGAATGAAGAAGGCATTTGGTATGCTTGTCTTTATTGGTCAGTGCATTGAGTCTAGGAGCTGGGAGTCATGTTGCAGCTCTTCAGGACACTGGTTAGGCCACTTTTGGAATACTGTGTGCAATCTGGTCTCTGTGCTATACAAAGGATGTTGTGAAACTTGAAAGGGTTCAGAAAAGATTTACAAGGGTGTTACCATGGTTGGAGGGTTTGAGCTGTAGGGAGAGGCTGAATAGGCTGGGGCTATTTTCCCTGGAGCGTTGGATGCTGAGGAGTGATGTTATACAGGTTTATAAAACCATGAGGAGCATTAACAGGGTGAATAGCCAAGGTCTTTTCCCCAAGCTGGGGGAGTCCAAAACCAGAGGGTATAGGTTTAAGGTGAGAGGAGAAAGATTTAAAAGAGACCTTCTTAGGCAACTTTTTCACACAGAGGATGGTGCGTGCATGGAATGAGCTGCCAGAAGAAGTGGTGGAGGCTGGTACAATTACAATATTTAAGAGGCATCTGGATGGGTATATGAATAGGAAGGCTTTAGAGGGATACGGGCCAAATGGGACTAGATTAATTTAGGATATCTGGTCGGCATGGACATGCTGGACTGATGGGTCTATTTCCATGCTGTACAGCTCTACGACTCTATAAATCAATCTCAGTCAATAACCACCCCAACAGTCTACTCATGATCAGTAAAGTGATGTAAACCATTAACAACAGTGCTATCAAGCAGAACCTGCTCAGCAATAACCTGCCCAGTGGCGCACAGTTTGAATTTCGCAGAGCCACTCAGCACCTTACCTCATTACAGCCTTAGTTTAAACATGGTCAGAAGAAGTGAATTCCAGAGGTGAGATGAGCATGCCTGCCCTTGACCTCAATGCCACTTCTGACCTACTGTAGCATCGAGGAATCCTAACAAAATGTGAGTCAATGGGAATCATGGGTAAAAAATCTCTGCTGACTGGAGTCATACCTGGCACATAGGAAGATGGTTGTGGTTGCTAGAGGTCTGCTCCAGGGTATCTCTGCTTAGGAGTTCTTCATGGTAATGTCCTGGGCACAACCATCTTCAGGTGCTTCAGCAATGATCGATCTTCCCTCTATCATGAGGTCAGAAGTGGGGACATTCGCTGATGATTGCACCATTGTGCAACACCATTCATGACTCCTAACTCATCACATGACTCCCCAGAGCCTATCCACCATCTACAAAGCATAAGTCAGGAATGTGATGGAATATTCTCTAATTACTTGGATGAGTGCAGCTCCAACAACAGTCAAGAAGCTAGACTCCATCCATGACAAAAGCAGCCTACTTGCTCCATAGGCATCCAGTCCCTCCACCACTGATGCTCAGCAGTGTGTACCATCTACAAGATACACTTCCAAAATTCACTGTAGCATCAATTCACTGTACAATCTTCTTAGACAGCATCTTCCAAATCCACGATCAATCTATCTAAAAGGACAAGGACAGCAGATATATGGAACACCACCACTTATAAGTTCTCCTCCAAGCTATTCACCATCAGTCACTTGGAAATACATTGCTATTCTTTCTGCATTGTTGGGTCAAAATCCTGGAAGTTCCTCCCTAATGCCATTAAGTGTCTACCTACAGCATATACACTGCAGCATTTCAAGAAGACAGCTCACCTGCACCTTCTCAAGGGCGACAAGAGATGAGCAATAAATGATGGCACAGCCAGTGATACCCATGTTCCATGAGTAAATTTGAAAAAAAAACACAAGATGTAGGAGCGGTAGTATGCTATTTAGTCTATTGAGTCTGCTCCACTATTCTATGAGATTATATATGGCTTAACCAATAATCCTCAATTTCACTTTCCTGCCTTTTTCTCACAACACTTCATTCCTTATTGATTAAAAATCTGTGCATCTCAGCCTTGAATACACTTAAAATGACCAAGTCTCAACAGCCCTCTGCAGTGAAGAATTCTACAGTTTCACTACCCACTGAGAAGACATTCCTCATCTTAATTGGGTGATCCCTTACTGTTACATCATGCCCTCTGGTCCTAGAGTCTCCCACAAAGGGAGATAACCTTTCCCCATTTTCCCTGTCAAGTCCCTTAAGAGTCTTATATGTTTCAATAAAGTAGTGTCTACAATGTCTCATTCTTCTAAACTCCAATGAGTACAGGGCCAAACTACTCAACCTGTCATCATACAAAAGTCCCTCCACACCCAGGATCAAGATGATGAACTTACTGTGACTGTCACTACTGCCAGTATGTCTTTCCATAAGGGGCCCCAAACTGTTCCCTTTATTCCAGATGTGGTCTGACTAGAGCCCTGTATAGTTTTAGCAAAACCTCTCATATTCCATTTCCTTTGAAATAAAGGCCAATATTCTATTTGCCTTCTCTATTATCTGCTGAACTTGGATGCTTGCTTTTGAGACTCATGC